TCCAAATTTTCAAGGATGGATAGCAATCTAAATCGATTAGCAATTGCAGACGCAAAATAAATTCTTTCGATGAGATTAAAATGGAAAATTTAAGAGGTTTGGCGATGAGATTTTTAAAAATGGTTTTATGGTTCCATTTTCTGATATTTGTTTCATTTTAATATTTATAGTAGTTTAATTGTTATCACTCGCTCATTACAGCTAATTTCTTTTCTTTAAACATATTTTTCGAGAATCAATTAATAAGCTTCGTAGAATGAGGAAGAATTTCTCAAATAATCCAAAATGCAACTCTGCATTCTACTGAGAAAATGAAAAATGATGAACATATAAATCATCGAGTATAAATAAAATATTCAATATCCTTGGAAGAAAATTTCAAATTTTAAAATAACTATTAAAAAATTTTTCAATTTGGATTGAAAATAGTTTTTTTTCCAAACTATTTTATCATTCGAAACTTGCGATATTACTTCGACTGATTGAATCGCGTGTTACTTTTTTTTAAAATAAATATTTAAATATTCCACAGTTTAAAAGGAAGCGGTTAATCTAAAATATTGCAAGTCTGAAGTTTCATATTAGATTGATTTATACAATTCTAAAGCATATTCGTCCAGTTTAATGGAAGATTTTTAAAAATGCTTAATGAGGTTTCCGTAAGAGATAACTAGAATACCAGTTAATTTCAGGTTTCTTAATCATTTATTCTTTAAAATATTTTCGTAATCTATTTTTTTTACACAACTATCATAATTAATTGAACAAAGTTTTCCAATAATACAAAATCGGATGGATGAGAAAAGCATTAGAAATCCCTCGAGGACAATGCATAATGAAATCGAATATTATAGAATATATTGAATAACTGATTAAATTAATTCATAACTCGAAACATTCGTTTATTTATTTATTCGATATTTGATTTCGTTGTATTTATCGCTATTTCATGATTTAGATTAAAAGCAAATGGTATTAACTGACTTTCATTAACAGAATTCGTTGATTAATGCAGACAAATTTAAGTAAATATGGAGTAAATTTTTTCGATAAAAATGCCACCGAATGCCCATTTCCACTTAAAATTCATCTATTTCAATATAGTTTTTTTCTATTTCTTCTCTAGGATTTCTTTACTCAACTATTAAAATTTTCCAATGGAGACGGAAAGGTGCAAACTGGTTGCGATAAACAAAAAATATTAAATTAAGATAAGCATATTAATTTAATGGGTATTTGTTACTATGGTATATATAGTGTTGAAATGTCCACAAAATTTTAAGAATTCGTGGCAAACTCAACAAATATCGATGGTTTATATATATTTGGAATAAAACTCGTTAGCCGGACGCGAGCTTTATTTCTATGTTAGATATCAAGATTTCCGAAAATTCTTTTAAAAAACTTTTTTGCAATTCTCAATAAATTTTTTCTGTCCATGAAAATTTTGAAAATAGCGATGAAATTGTTTAGAAAATTATTAAATCATTCTTAAATTAATCAATTATAATGCAAATCATCGCAGTTTTCTTAAGAAAATAACTGAAATCAACTTTCATTAACCGAATTTTGGAAATTAATTAAAAAGCGAAAATCTTCATGAAATAAACCTTTTTTCTTTATCACTTCGATTCTCTAGAAAGATTCTTGATGATAAATTCTTGATAATGAATTAAAATAATTGTTGATAATGAGAAATTAGAAATTCTTGATGATCATGTCCACTATCAGTGCTCGTTTAAATATTTTTACTCGCTAACTTAGAGTGTTAAAGATAGCTTTCGAAACATTTAGAAACATTTAAATAATAATTATTATTCCATTTTTATTTCCAACTTTAATCATTAACTTTGCTTTGAATTTATTTTTGCCATACCTACTCAAAGTACCTAATGGCTTTTCATTTTTCACATAAAATATAAATATAATCATTCCATTATCGATGAGGACTGTTTGTTTTCCTTTTTTTGCTGTTGCTACTGCTAATTGAATAATTACTTGAATTCACCGCAACATCTCCAGCCAGTCACTTGTCGCTTCGCTCTAATTCTATCATTTTAACTTGAATTGACAGTCTTCATCAATTTTTTTGCTTTATATGCCTTTAGTGCTTCATGTATGCAAGTTTTAAATTATATGCATGAAAAAAAATGTCAGAAATTTATTAGTTTTTTTACTTCAATTGATAGGCTTCATTTCTTTTTTTTAAGATTATTAATTTTCAAGATTTTCATGATTTCTTTGATTATTTTATTCTTTTTACCAACGAAAACGAATAATGTAATAATTTACAAACCAAAAGTCTCGATAATCGCATTAAGTTCTTATGCAGTGACTTTTAATAAGTAATCTCCATTACCTTATCTCCATTTCATATTCATACTTTCATGGTCCATTCGTTGATCGTTCTACTGAACTCACTTTATTATTATTTTCTCATTGTTGATGCAAAATCAGAAGTTTTAAATAATCGAAATTTCAACACTGATGCTTTATCATATCGTCTTCATGCTACAATGGATTAGGTTTAAAATGATTAATAGCACTGATATATGTATACGAGGCTTTTTAAGCTAAATGAGATTATAATGCGTTTTAAATTCCATATTGCCCATAAAATCTGTCTCTGTCGATTTCATCAATAATTTTTAGGCATAAAATTACTTTTTCGTGGGATTTTACAGATGGTAATTACAATAATTTTGTCCTTGTAAACATACTTGAATAGGCACTTCAGTACCTCCTTAAGAGAAACTTAAGACTATACAAGTCTTGTCTGAGAAAAAATATTAACAACTATGACGTTTCTTGACAGTTTTTTTTATAAAAAATTATTTTTTTCAAAACTTTTAATTTTTTCGTGATATTTTCTTTTTGCAAAATGAGGAAAAACGTGTTCATTTTTTTCCTTTTATATTTGCTTATATTTTAATTCCTTCAGAATTATTACTGATGTTTTCATTTGGGTTCCAAAAATTATGATAAGTTAGAGTTGAGTGTTTTTACGCTTACTTTGGCTGTTTCACGAACTCACAAAGTTTTCCTTAAACTGTTCACTTCACTTGGATTAGTTGTTTCGCAATTGATCATTCATCGTTGTCAACTATGTCTCGTGTGAAATCATTGCCTCAAATCGTAGTAGAATTGAGCAGGATTTGACAAATTCTATATTGCTTTTAGCCAGTCGGCTGCCCTCGGGGCAATTAATTTAAAAAGCATTTGCATAATTTCACTGAATTAATTCGGCAAATGGCTTAATTTGTAAATTATAGAACAGCCTTTTTAAATATTTTTTTCCAAATTTCTTAGTTTATTGGCGTTTGAGTTCAAAATTGAATAATCTAGTTACTAATTTTGGTCGGCTTGCTCAAATCGTTTTTACTATCATTTAGTCTAAATGCCATTATTTAATACTGATGAATTATGAATAGAATAGGCCATTAACTTTTAATTGCCAAACTAGCTTATTTCTTCAAGCTCTTCGATATCTTCAAGTTGAAAGTTATAACCTTCATAGACATACGCAAATGAAATTCGAAAGAATGCAAGAATTTTTTTTCATTTTGCTTATCAATTAATTAATTTTTGTTCAAGAAAATTTTAGCCAAGTTTTTTTCGTAAATTTTCAAAAAATTTCAAAAAAACTTTTCAAAAGCTATTTTCTGTTTAACATTCAATCTGTCAAATAAAACATTTGACTGTGAAAAAAATTGCTACTAAGCGTTTCGCTAATAGTTAATTGTAGTTAGCTTTATTCGAGGAGTATGGTTCATAGCATTATACATTATGAATCGTAAATCAGGAATCATGAATCAGGAACCTGAAATTCGTGAAATCTGAGTTCGGTTAAGCGCTAATCGATACATCTTCGGAAAGTTCTTATTGGATCATTAGTATATAAAGAAAAAAAATTACCTAAAGAGTATATTTCCATTATTTCAAGTTCATGGACAATAATTGCCTTTTTATCGCTTTGGTTTGCAAACTTCTAAAAAATAAAATTAACCTATTAGACTTCGAGAAATATTGTTTTTTTGCATTTAAAAGTCTCATAAATCAGAAAATTTTGCCATTAAAATTTCTCTTACAACATAATAAAATCAGTGGCGTGAAAGAAGCATATTGCGTGCAATATTGTGTTGAACAATTGTTCACTTTGTTGAAAGACTGACGACTGACCATCGATATTTGTGTTACAGATTGTCGTGACATAATTCGTTCAACTATTTCATGACATTAATTATGATCGGCTTGTTGACTGTATTAATTCGGAATTTATCGTCTAAATTCTCTTTTTCATATTCAATAAAAAGTCCATAGAAATAGGATTATTGCCGCAAAACCATTGCCTCTAATTTAATTCCGCAGATCCAGCTTTTTGATGTTTTAAGTTTTTTACATTATATTATTTTTTATTTTGTTATCAAATCATATATTATAATGATAACAATTTTAGTTCGCAAATTGTTGCTTCGAGAAATTACTTTCATTTTAGCCTGCTTGTATTCAGTGCTAGAAAAAAATAATTTTGTTCATTAATTGGGTCTAGATTTGGTGCAATAGATTTCAAAGTTTGCGAATTGCCCTTTTTTGTATTTATGTTTTTATGAATTAAATCATTTCGCTAGTTATTTTCCGTATTAGAGCCTCGTATTCTAATTATAGAAACAATATTGCCAGGAAAGTGGCTATTTATCTATTTTGCATCTTCCTTAATATGACCGAAAGAACCATCTAACAGCCATTTCTGCAGTTTTTTGATTTGTCTTATGAAATATCTCAGTAGTTGATATAATCTAATATTGAAATTATACATTTTTTTTTCGCCATTTATTTTGTTTACAGCGTTGATTTACAGCAAACGCGTCTGTAGTTACAAACGCGAACTGTTTAGAAATGTCTCATAGCACCTTTAACCTTAATCCGATTCGTTAAAGGTAGATCTGTGTACAAATGGGAATGACATCAATCAGAATTTGCTTTGTACAAAAGTAATATCCATGCGAACCTGGCTGATTCTTATAATGCATAATGTATGCGTACATATTACTGTTAGTACAAATCTACAATTTGCAATCAATGCTGAACGGAAGCAGATATTCGAGAATACGCAAACGCAACTTGTTCCACACTCAAGTACTGGAATTGTCAGGCAATTATATATAAGCGGTATTTTTTCTTACCTTTTTATACTGAAGAGACATTTCTATCATATTTTTTTGTAAAAATGTTAAATTTAAATATAAATTTTAATTTTAGAGAAAATTTTGCTTTGAATTTCGATATTGAATATTTTGATATTGAAAACAAAATTGGATACATTTTGAAAATATTTATAATTGGCTGAAAAATTGAGGATGTTTCTCTTTCTAAATAATCAGAAATTTTTGCCTTCAATTATTCTCGATCGCCAATAGATTTCTTCTCACGAGATTGAATAAATTTTCGAGAAAAAATCACAATTGCTGCAAAAAATGCGTGGATAACTCGATGTTCAAAATTTCATTATGAAATGAAACCATTCATAATTTGAGATATTATTAATATTATTGCTAAATTCCCTTCATTTCTTTTATTATTTATGATAGAAGTAAAGTTAATTTTTTAAATTATACAAATCAACCGTTGTTCACCAATTGTTCCTTGTCGAACAATTCACAATCAACTGCAATGATAGCAGCACATTGTTACGTTATCCATCTGGCATTATCAATAACTTGTTCATCAATAGTGTTGCTAAACTAGTGTTTATTCTAGAACCAAATCTCTGGGTAATCTTTGGAACATTGTCATTGATTGATATGATGTGTAAATTTTCTTGATGCTCAAAAATTATTGTTATATTATAGCAGTTGGCATAGTAACAAACCATATAGAAATTGTGACAATTTCGTGTTAAAATAATTGAACAAGTTTTGCAGTTCTGCATTTGTTTTTTCTTCTATCATTTTGGTTCGAGTCATTCTGTTATATTTTTGTAAATTTTTTCTTTATTTTTATTAAGCATTTTTCATTTTTTAAAATATTAACACTCTTAACTTATTATTTAACATACTTACTTATGCATTTAATACACGTATTAGAAAAAATCTATAATCGAAAATCATTAGGAAAAAATGAAAATTATTTATATAAATAATTCTGTATAAATGCAATCAATGGTACATTGAAGATGCTTTTTTGATTGTTTCAAATTTTTGAAGTGAAAATTATAACAAACCGAAGAGAAAGCAGCGTAAGTCTTAGAACATAGTACATATGCGTGTACCTTCTGTAAAAAAGTGGTTAAGGAGTACTCATTCAGGCAGTTTGTTTAAGGCAGTTTCACTTGCTGTTAGTACGGTTTAAAATTTTTGCGAAGGAATCACTTGGCGATAGAAGCATAGGTGAGTTACTAGCATCACTTGTATTTTAGTATGATTAAAAATTTTAGCAAAGAAGTCACTCGACGATAGAAGTATAGGAGAGCCACCTGCATCACTCGGGTTTTTTAATGTTAGGTTTATCTTGCAGACTATTTTGCGAAAACTGCAGGTATTTTGATTGTTTATTCGTGAAAATGAATTGATAATAAAAGAAAAATTTCAGATACGGTTCGTTGTCTTTCATGTATGTCGAAGTTCTATGAAGCCGTTTGGCCCTCTTTGTCTGCGATTTACAAAAGGCCGAAGAACTTTACTGATCACTGTGACACTGAAAATGTTAACATAAATCTTATACCCATAACATACTGCCCGACGATATGTGTACGAATGTGGGAGGAGGCGGTTGTTGCTGGTAAATTGTTTTCTATGATTTTTCCATATAATATCCTTATAGAGATCGATCATCTCGTTCTTTACTTTTGTATCTCCATTCTATAAGTTCGTTCGTAGTTATGTGGATATTCTCAGCAGCAAAAATTTTTCTTTTTTTTTCACTGCGATATCGTTTTCCGAACAGATTAATTACTATGTCTCAACTATTAATGAAAATAATTACTTATATAAAATGTTAGATCTCACCATTTCATAAAAATCCATCATTTTTCATTGCAATTCAATGAGGCATAGGAATCTCGGTTTGATTCTAATACAACTTTCCTTAATATTTTTTCATTGCACCAAGTCATTTTATCGTATCGACCTGTAGTTTGACAAAATGCATGGCAAATCCTGCCCAACATTGATTTGGCCATGAAATTCGCAAAGGTGTTTCTAAATTGCGACAAATTCTTTGGTCATGCCTAAATGAACCTGTTCCTAGGAATTCGAATCAAAGGTAATATTCGAGGTTGTCTCAGTGAAATTTTGCATAATGGATTTAACCAAACGATTATTACCTGGTATCGTTGGATGCACAGAGATTCTTGCCGCCAATATAGGTTTGTCTTATAAATCTCCTTATCTTCCACTGGAAATCTTTTATCTTTTTCAAGCGATAAAGTGATTGCTTCCATGTTTATTTATTTACCTAAATTCTAAGATAACCGAATATTTTATTAAATTCGCTGAATTTTAAGAGAGAACTATTTTTAAATTTTTTTTTTGAGGGGACAAATATTTCCCAACATGTGATTTATGCAAGTCTTTTCATATGTTCATACTTTAACAATTTCATTTCACAGAAAACATTGGTGAAATTTTTCAAAATTTTTTATTGCATTTTGTCTCATTAGTTCTGCTTCATTCCTCATTTCTAAACTCTTCATTTCTGTTAACATATATTATCGATTCTTAATTATAAATTCTGTATTTTTTACGAGATGTAACTTTTAATGTCTACCCAAAGTGAAATTAGTTTGTCAAGGAATAGCAAAAGACAATTATTGGTACCGTATTAGGCGAAGAGAAAATTTTTAATGCTCTAGAAGTTCTTATTTGGTCCTTTTATAGTTGTGCCTGAAAAAAAAAACTAGGAAAATGGTTTCATAGAATATTAAGTTCATGCAAATATGTAGAAAATAAATGATTATATTCAACTAAGTAAGTTACTGTCAGTGACTTTCGATAATGGGGAACTAACTATTTAATTTTTTCTTCTACAGGTTTATCTTTCAGGAAGCGTGAATTATTTAAGTTGTCAACAGAACAAAGCGATGAGAGCTATGTAACCGTATGCACTTGTTATGATGACTTCTGCAATGCAGCAACTCGAAGTAATGCACCTCATAGATCGTTATTTATGCTATTTTTATTTTGTTTCAGCATAATAATCACTTTGTTACCAGTCTATAGGTTGTAATCGGATTGCTAAATTATGTATTGTCGTTGTCTGTAAATATCATTCACATTCACAAAAATAAGTCGTCCTTCGAAAATCGGAATTGCATAGTGATGCAAAAAAATCGAAAATAATAAATGATTTGGAAGGTAGAAAATGAGTATTTAAAGGCTGAAGGAAAGCGGTAGACGAGTAATTTGATGCATTTGCTAAGTAGCGTTTTTTAAATGTTTGAATGCTATTCAAAAACTTATGTACTATTTTGAAACGTAGCGATAGATTCCTCGAAAGGAAGAAGACATTAACCATGCTACTAACTCCGAGAAACCACTAATGATTCCAAATTTTACAAATTCTATTTGAAAATTCGCTTAAAATTCAATATTGAGTTAAACATACGTCTATTTGATAATTGTCCTTATCTGATAATTTATTCCTAAAATAATAATCGCATAATAATTTGGGAATCAGATTTTTAATGTTTCCTAAGAGACCAGTGATTTAATACGATTTGAAATGGCAAGCCAACCTATATATTTTCCGTTTTTCTGGCTTTTATTGCATTGTATAACTTTATTTTTATGATATTCTTATGATATTCAAATATTCTTGGCAATAGTCGCTCAAAATTTGAGACATTACTATTGTACAAACATTTAAGGAGAACGATAATGTTCTTAGGGCAATTTCTTATTTTAAATTCTTCACTTACTTCCTTACTTCTGATCTGTCGTAGTTTTTATAGGTGAAGAAAATAGAATTTCTGTCTTAAGGGCTCAAACCATGTATGTAATTCAAACAAATCTCATGGATTATATATAATATGAAGAATAAGATTGTGTGAATAAAATTTTTATCTCGTCTGTTTCACGAGATTTATATTGTTACTACACATTATAGAATTATTTCTTAGCAAAAAACGACGAAGATCGATTTTAATTCCGATTTCATCCGACTATTTTCAAGAAATGCGTGCGATAAACTAAAGAAATGTTCGTGGTACTGAATTCCAAGGTTCTATCTTTTTTTATATGTGGAATTTCAATGAGTCCTGCAAAAATATTTCTATTATGCAAGTCTTAGCAACCACACAAAAATGGATAGACTTTCATCATTCACTGTTCAAATAACAAAGTAAACATCGTGCGTATATCTCTATTTTTGCTTTTCAGCAATTACCGCGAGAAATTCACCACCGCCGGTTGAGATAAAAGCCTGTGGACTGTAAATAAGGCATCCATAAGCCGTATGTCTATAAAAATTTTCACTTCTCTGCTACCACTACTAATTTCTGCTAGTTTTTTCCCTGTTAATATAACATGTTAGGGTAGAGTGAATGAGTTGCAATTTTTAGAGATTCTCATCCGTTATAAAATCACGGGAATGAAACCTGAGCTCCAAATGTGATTCTATGTCTAAGTGCTGCATTCTCGCCGAACGATCTCTTCTTCATCACATATGGCTTCAGCCGAACGAAAAATAATGACCGCTGCTGGGAGAAAATAAATGCGAATGGAACGAGGGAAAAAAATTTTAAATTTTCTTTCTACGAGGAATAGAATCTCTCGGCGAGCATGTTAGTTATTTGCTTCGTCGGTCGTCTCAAATGGATCTCTTCTTTCTTTCTTTCAACTAATATATTCTCGAATTATGTGTATATGTGCAAATAGGCAGTGTGTGCGTCGATGTGCATGTCGCCTTCTCTTGTCTTCCTTCTCACCAACCAACCGACAACCAACCACCCATCGAATATTGCCTGCTCACACGCAATGGCACTCTATGCGATCAATCTGTCCATCTGCCCGTTTCAATTTCAGCACACATTTCTCTTTTTTTCGTTAACATTTACGACCTTATTTGTATAAAACTATCACTGATAGAATATTTTTAGTTTTATATTTAAAAAAAAAAAATTCCAAAAGAAAATAAATGAAATGTTTCAATTCTGCAAACAAATGAATTTTTAAGTTTACTGATAAATGGTAAAGGAAAATTTTTCTGCAAAAAAATTCCATTTTTCCGAGATTTCAATTTTTTTTCTAATTTTACAATTAATGTTTTGAAATTGAAATTTTGAAATATTTTAAATTAAATATTTTTGTACTCGCTTCATGACTTCAATAGAATTCATGGAAAGTGGAAATGAGACGGCTGCTGGTGCTCCAAATAAACATACTTTTCTCCTCAGGTGACTCTTTGGTGAAAGCGTTTCACCTTAGTAATCAGTGGAGACAACAAAACCAGAAATTGTGTTGACAAATTGTATGATCGAATGAGTTTTAAATGGTTTGCTGTGAGAGAGGGCACAGTTCTCGCGTTCTTTTTATCAAGAATTTTGCTAGAATATTCACTGATAAATTTCCGCAACCATTTGCTATATACTGAAAAAAACCTCTCATTAATTTAATTGAATCCTATAAGAATCTATTAAGTTTTACTAAAGATGCGGTTTCAGGGAGTTTGGCAAATGACTGAAATGTGGGATTCGTCGATTATCGGTTCAGTTACTGCTAAACTCGTAATTTTGTTCTCTCAAAACCGTAGAATAGACTTGAGCTTCACTCCTATTAAGTTATGCTACAGATTTATGCATTGAGAAAACAGCAGATAAAAAAGCAATCAGTCTGAGGCATTGCTGGTTTACTCCACTGGTGACTCGGGTAAGGCTCTTTCCAGGCCTCTCGGTCCAACACCATTGCTGAAAGTGACTGAAGCCATCTAAGTCTTTATATCGCTGGGCCGCCTATGCATGCCAGGTTTCCTGTATCACTCCAGGTCTTGGTTGGTCATCCTCGCCTTTATTATCGATTCGCTTTGCTTTTAGACAAAACACCTCATATTTAAGTCATTAAGGTGCATTAGTTAAATCCGCTAGCTGATTAGAAATAATCATATATTTATGTATTTATATTTCTATCTATTTATCTATGAAGTATTATTATTTTCTTCTTATTCTCTATTATCCGAAAGCGATTTCGAAGGCTAATCGACTCGAACTGCAAAGGCTTAATTTAAAGTATCAAACGTTGCAAATCGTTAAATTCTTGCTCGAATTAGTTGTTACTTATCATTTGTTGCAAATCTTTCTGAAATATTGTAGTTTTGCTTCAATTAGTCAAAACTAATATGACTTTTGAAATTTTAAGAACGGAACGTTATCGTTGAACTAATCGTGAAAAAGAGAGAGAAGCTGCGATCACTGAACGGAATCGGATCAGCAATGTACCAGCAAACGCAACTAAAATAAATTCATTCATTTGAGATTCTTTTTTGAGACAATTAGATATTTTAACAATGGTTAGCATGGATTCGTCCATGCATACACTTATATATATATATATATGATTAACAGTTAATCCCTTAAATCATAAGTTTAAACTTATGAATTGTTCAGAATTCCGAGAGTTGTTGAGAGCAAAGCAAGGATAACTTAATCGAAACGTTCCTTGAAAGATTTTTACCAGTAATCAGTTAGGAAAACTAGAAAATCGTAAGTCGTCTACTTCATTTGAGGTAAATCTGCAAATGTTCCATCAAATAATAGGTTAATGCGCCATTCAGATGTTAGATTTAGGCGACGAATAAATATTATATTTCAGAAAAATGAAAAAATCGGTAATTGAACCGAAAATTCGAAATAATGTCGTATTTTCTGCGTAATCTGAATCCATTTTCTTCAACAGATGCAAGCATTCAAATAGATTCTTATTCGAATCATTCAGCCAGATTCATCGATCAAAGCAGCGTCTGCAATAATCGACGAACACAACAAAATGGTTTGTTAATCGCTTCTGAAAGTGCTGTGAGGGATTTTCATTTCGTATGGATGATGCGTTTTAAGTTCTCAACGAGGTTCCAATTCTTTCATGGTAGTCAGTCGACGATTATCATAAAAGTTCCATTTAATACACGAAGAACAGCCTTTGTTGAACATCGATTAAGTCGACTCGATAAGCTTGTTTATCCAGTGAAGTGGTGAAAAGATTATCACTCCACAAAGTTTTTTTAATCTGATCACTTTTTACACAATAGCAGAACACTGTTATTTGCTTTGGTCATCGTTTGGTCAGTGCTCTTATTTTAGTGCATTTTTGCTTTATATGAATCGCCATGTAATATATATGAAATAACGCAAACACACTCATACATACAGTCCATATAATTATTATAAGTAACCCGTAAAAGCAGTAAAAATCCTGATTTTGATTAATTTTTATAACTTATAAGCATTTCAACGTTAGATTCGTGGTTTTCAGATTTAGCAGGTGCGAAATCCGTATGCAGTCAATTTGCACAGTTGCTTAGGTACTGTGCGAAATTGCCACCAAGAGGTCAATTACTGCGTCTGTCTTCTCAAAGAAAGGCACTGCCACCTTCAGCCGATTCAGATGGTACTACTTTTTTGGCATCTCTTAATAATTTTTTGCATATTACAGTTTCGTCGCAAGAACTTGCAATATCCCAGTTTTCCTTTTTAAAACATTTTTTTCTTTCTGATGATGGCATGAATTCTCGTCGAATTGTTGTTGTCGGCGCAAACAGTGACGGTGTGACAAGTCATGAGTTTGAAGCAGCCTCTTTCGATACAACAACATGCTTAAGAATTGTTGCTGCACCTTCTGCGTTTGGAGCTACTGTAATTGCCAGAACCTTTGTTCTCAGGCTAGTTTTATAGATTTATTATTTAAAATTGATAATCATTAGTTGTCTATCATTTAGTTATTTTCCTCGTAATTTTCAAAAAATACTGCAGTCCTTGATAGTATTATTGCTTGAAGGTATTTAGTTTTAGTTTTTCGAATTTTTTTTTTGCTTCGTTTTGAATTTTTTCTTATCTTTCTTTTAGATATGCTGCATTGTTAAAAATTACGTTGTGTTGTATGGAAAATGCTTTAGAGGATGGTTTTATTAACGAAGTTGAACTCGATATCAAAGATTCCACTCTTGAAAATCATGTTAGTTCTATCACGTTCTATTTCTATCTCATTTTTTTGGTAGAAATGCATGTAATGTTTAATATTTAATATTTGCAAAAAGTTGATTATGGCGAATTGTGTTTATTTCTGTTTCTGCTGATTGTCTGGCAAATATTTCTTGCTTCAAGAATTCCTTCTTTCTTTCTATTATCAGCCAATCGAGTGCATCCACATACTTTTTTTTACTCATTTTTACTTTATTATTTCGAGTCAATATCTTTGCATTATTATTGCAGATATTAATCTTTGAAAAATACATATTTCAGCTGTTAAATAAAGGTGACCAAGTTGTTCTGATCAGTCTAAAGTGTCTGTTCTCAATATTAGCTGAATTAAGTAAACGCGATCCCGAACTTTGCTCAGATGCACTTGGTTCGCTTTTGAAACTTCTCGAGCAGTTGAATCCTGATGCGCTTTCTACCGAATTACATTCGGCAGTGCGCTCCATGCACGAAATATTGAAGCAGCTCAGAATAGAAGGTAAAATCTTTTTCCACCTGGCTTTTTTCATTCAGTGGCGTTCAAAATTTGTGCTAATAGAAGATTTGTTATCGTCTGACTGTGTCATTGTCAGGTTTATTTCTTAAGGTAGAGGTTTTATCTCACTGATATATGTATAAGCAAAAATATTTCGATTAATTTTGAGCCAGAATATTGCAAAAATTACAGGTTTTCAGGTTCTAGCGAGGTTTCATCGAAAGCTACATCCTGTTTAATAGCCTTGGCTACAGCTTATGGAATGCCTGAGTTTTTATTATCATCTGTGGCTTCTTTACTTTGTGATACAACCAAAAGCGAACTGAAAAATGAACCGTTACCAATAACGATTCCCAGCAATCACCATAAACTTGCCAATCTTGTTCAGCGAATTATAATTAGCAAATCGGAAAACGGTGGAAGGTTTGCTTTATTTTGGAAGTATTTCGAATAAATTAGAAGAAATTTTGCGATTTTGTTTCAGCTATTCTACAATTATTTTTTAGAAGTAAATCATCATATTCAAACCAATTTTTATTAAATATTTATTTATGATAATATAAATTCATTTAGTATTGGTGATTGGTGGTCAAATTGCTTGCATAATTATGTTTTATTGTCTGCTTTTGAAGTGCGTATCCCGAGTGATATCACGCCTGAAACACCCGATGATCGCCGTCTCACTGGATCTGTAGCATCTGATGGTATGTTCAACTGAATGTGTAATGAGATGTTCTTTAGTTTTTATGCATATAAAAGGAAAATTTATATTTCTATATTTTTGTAGGCAGATATATTTATGTTTTGACCTGTCATGGTTTATTAAAATTTGGGACCGGATTGGCTGAAACAATTGCTGGTAAGCTGTATGCTTCCAATGCAATGTTGAAAGCAAAGTAAGTAATTTTTTCTCTTTTCTTTAAATTCTTCGGAGGCAAGTTTGATTTAAATCAGGATTTATTCTTTGAAATTGCTAAATTTGTTAAATTTAACATTTTTTAGTATTTTATTTTGATTGACATTTTATTTTAGTAATAATTATGACATTGCTTTCACGTTTATCTTAATTTACATATTTATTGCAGCAAAGGAACTTGGCTTGCTATTTGTAATGGATCTTTATACCTTCGTCGACGACAATCATCCAGGCTATGGGTTATCGATGTGGATACGCTTCGAGAAATTGGTGAAATTATGCTTCATAGTGCTGCTGTTACTGGTATCTTTTCTAGCATCTTCATATTCTAAATAAAAACTATATATTTTGCATTTTCTAATCTCAGTAACTTGTCGAACAATTACTTAACATATTTCTTCCAATAAATAGTTGAAATATTAAAATTGCCAGGTGCGTTGGTAACTGATGGTTCGACGTTTTATCAAGCAAATTTTGATGAACAGTGGAATCTCTTGGTTAGTGTTTCGTTTTTTTTTTGAAGGTATTAAGCGGTATTTGTAACTTTTGGTCTTAACATTCAATTCTTTCTGCTTACTTTTCATATTCATAAACAATTTTCAGATAATACCTCTTGATGATTCGTTTACACCAACATCGGATCAAAAGCAATGCCAGAAGTATCGTCTTTGCGAAATAGGTTATACCGCAGTTGGTGATTGTCATCCTCTTCCACATGAACTTCCTCTTTCATTGCCTAAAACATTGCAAGGTCGTTTTTTTTGTATTTAATTGTCTATATGCTCTCAATCTTCTATGATTTGGTTTTACAATATGCCATTCTTATTTATCTGTTCACACATTCAATAATGAAAAAATTTGAAAAATTTATATTACCATAATTTCAATGATTTTTAATGATTATAATGATAGTACTTAGTTATCTAATTAAAAAGCATGACATTTCCATCTTATCTGATGCGGCACTCAGTGATACGGTGCATGTTTAATCGCATATTCAGTTCATCTTTTGTTGTTCACTTCCTACAATCTTCTCTTACATCACGTTATTATTATATTTTCGTGGACTTCTAGACATTTTTATATAATGGTGCAAAGTGAAGAGTTAATCCAATGCGGTACAACGTGATAAAGCAAAAATGCCAACAAAAATTTCTTCAATTCATTTATTTTTTAGCGCAAGCATCTGATCTTCAAATGGGACGTGAAGTAGCATTTTTACTTGCTCGAACAGGTAAGGTTTACTACGCTGGCAATGGTGCACGTCTTGGATTGCAGGTGAATTTAAATGTCAGCTTTCATCAAGTTTTCATTTTCATCATTCGACTTATTTTTCTGAAAAATTTTCTAAGAAATTATTTTAAGACGAATTATTTCCGTCTTTAACACCATTTAAGGAATCACTATTTAGATTATCCATCAACTTTCAGATCATTTGATATTTTCGACATTTTTGCAGGACACGGGTTCTAATTGGATGGAACTTGTTTTGCCAGACTCAATTGTTTCTATGTCAGTGGGCACAGATACGGAAACAGTTGTTTTACGGTCAGGTTCAGGTCATGTTTGGATCTCGGGTTTGGGACCAGAAATATACAGCCAAAGTAGTCCAGCAACTGCACGCTTTCAGAAAGTTGATGCAGGACTTACGCCAGCGAAACTAAGGAAGTTTCATATATCCAACAGGTTATCATTTTTTACTTGAATTTTATGTTTTATTTTGTTTTTTATTATTTAAAATTTCATAATTTTCATTATTAAAGTTTTATCACCATATTTGCATTTTTCTCGCTCGTTTATTTTCGTATTCATATAATTTATATTAGTTTAGTTTAGTTTATTCAGTTTACATTCGTATTTTGCGATTTCAAAATAGAAAAGTTCTCGGAAATGCCATGTTGTGATTCATTTTCCGTTTACACTTCACTGTTTTGAATGAATATAAAACCTTGAATTCTAAATCTATTGCCGCAATCTTCATAAATTGTGCTACTGCAGGCGAAAATGTATTTCTGTGGCTTTATCATCTGGATGTATCGCATATGTTATCGATAATGGAAAAGCATATGTAAGTGGTCGTCATGCGATGCACTGTAATCCTGAAACTGGTCAAATACTTGGTTTAGAAGGTGTAAATTTAGTGTCGATAGCACTGGGCAAAACGCATGCAGCCGCAATCACACGTCATGGACAACTTTTTACATGGGGACTCAATAATTTATGTCAGTGTGGTAGAGCTGAAGTAATTTGTTCAATTTTCTTTCCATATATTGTTGTTATGTCTTTGTTTGACTGTTTACGATCTTTTCACTTTCCATCATTCAAGATATTTTATTTTTGCTATTATTACAATTAAGAGATTTAAAAAAAATGAAAGGAATGGCATCAAGGATGTTTTAAGATTCTTCTTTCAGATGTTAGAAAATCTCTTAATTCTAAATTTTTTCGTTATTAATTTTTAAGAAAATTATTCTTATACAATTTGTATATATTTATATGAACGAAATTTAGGTGGTGTCGTTATCAAATCCTCGCATTAGTGGTGCTCACCAGATGTCATTATCGCATACTGAAGTTGCAGACGATAATGAGAGAACTGAATACTGTACACTGAATGAGCATTTGTGGGTGAAGGATTTTGCGTCAATTTGTGCAAAATGTGGAGAATGTTCTGCAAGAGGAAATAAGTAATTTATATTTCATGCCCTTTTCTAAAATTTCCTGCTAATGTTAAAATACTGCCACTGAAGAGATAAGCGAAAATTGGAAATTTAATTCCATACATACAAAAAGTTTCGTTATTCAAATGTTCACTTTTACAGAAAATGTCGGATAGGTATAATATTTACAAAATCTTGCATAGTGACTTTTAAGCGATTATTCAGATGTTTTTTTGCTGGAAGCAGACGTGACATGCAAAAGGTTAAGAAAGGAACTCTTTGCAAATGTGGTGAAGGCGAAACTTGTTGCTTACGGTTACTTCCATTTTTTGATTTTTATATAGTAAATTTATAAGGTTAATTGTATGTTATTTGAACCTATATTTTAAAGGTTTGAGATTAAATGATTTAATTGATCCAATTTAAGATGTGGTTTATGCCGAGTTTGTGGTGAGCGGTTAGCAGAGGAAATGTTACAAAACGACGAAGAACGACTTGGAACGTCTCAAAGGACTTTTTTGCCACCAGCTCGACTTGTTTTACAGAAATTTCTTCCAGATACTAAAGTATTTTACTGCTGTATTTTCATGTTCTATATTTTGTATGCACTGCAGATATTTGAAATATATTTGAGATATTTGAAATAATAAATTTTAGTATTTAATAAGTATTTTACACAGATCTCTTCGGTCAGTTGTGGTAATTACCATACGATCGTTCTTGCTGCAGATCGTCAGGTGTTTAGTTTTGGTTCGAATTGTCATGGTCAACTTGGTGTTGGTGACACTAAGCGATATGTTGGCCCTCAAAAAGTTTGTTCACAATGAAAATTTTTGATTCTTTAATCGTTTTGGAATGGTTTAACAATATCATAAAACAGTTATGTGAAGGCCTTAAAGGATTTTTTTTCCGATAAAAAATTTTTCAGTTTTCGGTAGACTGCAGATGGATTGAAGAAATTGTTAATTCATTTAGGTAGAATTACCGATGAATGTTCAAGTTGTACAAGTGGCTACTGGCGCAAATCATTCGGTACTTCGTACTGCAGATGGATCTGTTATAACTTTTGGTGCTTATAGACAGGGACAATTAGCTAGGTGTCGTATGCATTCTAACTGTTAACTGTTATCTAACGGTTTTCACAGCTTGAAATTATCATTGTCATTATTTTTATTTTTGTCATTTTGTCATTATTTTTATTTTTGTCATTTTCTTGTACTTAAAATTTTGTGATTTTAAGGCAATTAATTGAAGCCTATCAAAAAATATATTTTTTAAATAATTTTTAATATCAAGGTCTGCTGAGGAATGTACAGAATCGGTAAAAGTTTGGCACGCTACACCAAGTTTTGTTAAAGGATATGGACGAGGGTGTGGGACAGTTGCAACATGGGTTGGAGCCAATGGTGATATCACTTTGATACACAGTCAAAAGCGAATTTTCAGCAGCGATATTATTTCAAATTGCCAGGTATATTAGTTTTTGTGGTACTAGCTTACTGCCATGAAATTACGTTTTTTCATTTAATTAGTGTAATATGATTATAGGAGTTTTCATAAATTTGATTGATTAAATGCTTTCTTTAATGCTTTAAACTTCTCTTTTTTTTATCATTTTTTCAGATTGTAGCCAATAAGGATGCGATCATAATTTTCCCCAATGAAGTCGGAAAAGATTATGTTGCTATCCGTCGTAAATTTAATTCATTTTATCGGCATTCTTTAGGACCAGCTGGACTTTATACCAGGTGTTTTTAATCTTTTGTTTGTCAGTACTTTTTTTTTACTCCTAAGCATTCTAGGTCATCCATGTCTTTTCTTTTCGAAAATTTTTGACTAGGTCCCAGTCTGCATCTTTCAAATGGATTTCCTATGAGTCATTTTCTACTAAATAACATTATTCATTGATTTAGTTGGTACTTGGAGTCGAAATATAACTTAATGTGGGCGTTTAACGCTGCTGAAATGCGGATTCAGTCCTACTGCAATAGTCTTGTCACAGATGCTGTTGTCACTGATAAAAAGCGTGAGGTCATTTGGAATGAAATTTCACTTTTAAAGGCACCAGAATATTTTTTACCAGTCGAACCTGATTCTCAGTTATCAGCCTCTCACATGGCTTTAAGCGTTCTGTGTTCAACTTTTGTTATTACTATGCTTGTCTCTTCATTATCTGATGATGATAGGGTAAGCCTAAAAAATTATTTCAAAGTTTTTATCTGATATCAGTTTTTTTAATATTCCGATGATTTCTTATTATAATTAAATATTTCATTATCTGGGACTTTTGATAAAATATGAAATATTTATTCTAGGTAGCAAAGTTAGATTCTAAATCGTCGGTAATCGCTCAAGGTAACAATGGCTATGAATCAAGAGTTAGTTATCAAACAGTGAATCGTTTTGATGCATATGGTGGTGGATGGGGTTATTCTGTTCATTCAGTAGAAGCCATACAGTTTCGAGCATCGCGTGATATCAAATTTCTTGGAGTTGGATTGTTTGGTGGTCGTGGCGAATATATAGCAAAGTATTTTATTTTATTTCACTTTTATTTCAAAGGTTTCAACATTTAAACTTTTGAGTTAATTGTTTCAAAAATTTTTATTTTTATTAGTGAACTGAATTAAATAGCTTAACATTACGTGCGTTAATAAGCTATTGCTATCATTTGATTTCGTATCAAAAACCATAGCAGTTATTGAATTTTTAGACTGAAATTATTCCGTTTAACTGAAGCGGAATTCGATGAGCAAAGTATCGAATTGATTGCTGAGTCTGATGAAATGTTGTTTGAATGTGCAGCGCGTGAAAAAGCGCATTTAATGTTTGCTCGAGCTGTTTCAATAAAGGCCAATCACTGGCATGTCATTTGTGCCCAAATCAAGTAATATTTTTTTCTTACGTATTTGTCGCCGATTTCATCTATTTAGATATAAATATCGTGATAAGTATGCACAATTTAAAAAATTAATTAAGAGGATCTGATTTGTTTTCTTGAATTACAGCGGTCCAAGCTCTGATTGTGGTGCAAGCGGCAAAACGAATGTTACAGCTGAGGATGGAGTACATTTTTCATTTCGAAATTCAAGAATGTCCAATAATGGGACGGATATTAATGTGGGGCAAATTCCTGAATTACTATACGTTTCAGAAATATCTGGTTCAGCATCTACAAAAGTTAATAAAGAACAAAGTTATGATGGTGATATAAGGTGTGATCATACATTTCATTTATTCTTTATCCTTTAATACTACACTAATATCGAAAGCATTTATATTTCCATAAACCAGATTCGTTCATCAATTAAATATTTTATTTTGGATGTATTTCAGTGATTCTAATAAGATATCTGCCGTGATTCGCATGAAATCACTTATAAAATTCTCACCGAATACGCTCTCATATCTTTTCGAAATACTTGAGTGGTCCGTACAGCAAGCGCTTGTGGTAAAAGAAACTGATTATTGTGAGGAAATTTCTTGGAAGAGAGAAAAAGCCACTGCTATAGCGATTATTTGTTTAAAATTGGCTTGGTAAGTTTCATTTTAACGAAAGTAGAAAAATTATTGCGTGCAAACGTCAGAGTCCAAAATTCCAAAGAAAAGCTAATTGCTAATTTATATTCAAATATCTTCAAAGTTGATGGAAATCTCAGTGAAAGAGATATTCGACACATTACTAAATCCACTAAGTCTTAGTTTTATTTTTAGTACCATATTCAATCAAATTTTTAAGTTTTTACGTTCGGTGTTTATATTCTTTATCAAGTGAGAAGACAACTGAGAAACGTACTGAACCGTCATTCGAATTTAATAATCTTATGGTGCAGTTAAACACAATAATGAATATGCTATTCGAGTTATCCAATGATCAATTATTTAACGAGGTTCATCGATAAGTCTCATTAATTTTTTTGATTTCTTGCAAGTGTTTTGATAGTTATATATATTTTTATAATACTAATATCTATCTTTGTAACACTTAATTGAAGAATTCCACTGGTCTTGCTCTACTGGAAGAATCAGTTCGTACCTATGTTCTTTGCTCACATGTTTTGCTGCCAAGTCAGGCGATGATACTCAGTCGTTTAGCCTACTTGATGTCGACTCCAAATCGCGAATGGTCGCTCGTTGCTCTTCTTAGCGCGCTTTGTCATCAAGATTATGTAAAAATTTTTTTATATTTATTCCATTTAATTAGAAAAATATTTTCACTCTTTCCTCATGAAAAAATGAAGTGAAGGAAATACATTAATTATGCTGGGAATTTTGAAGATCTTTGCCGGCTTTCGGTCTTGTCTTTTGCTTCAAAGATGTTCATTTATTTAATAAAAAATGATAATTGATTTTGCAGGTACTTCCAATCCTTTTATGGACAAATCAAGATTTCCAATCCAATATGTTCAGCGAATTATCGAAAAAAATGAATGAAGAAATGCTTAAAACTTCTTTAGGCAATAAACCGCAGCGTCTGACAAATTTTCAGAATATTCTTCGTTTTTTATTCGAAATCGCATTTGCACATCACAATGCAGAAAATTCAGAACTTGTTAGATTTCAAATCTGAAATAATAAATTATTTATGACTGAAACTTTCATACTTCATAATCTTGTAAGACTTTTTTGCTGAATCTGTGCATTTTCCATAAAATTATAAAATTCAGCTGCAACAGAGGCAATTTTGGTACTTCCACTAAGTGACATTAATAATTAAATTAGTGTTTTTACAGACGACAAGTGGTTTGCTTCTCAGATCTGCTGCCCGAACTCTTATTGTTACCATAGCAAAGGAACTAGTTACTCCTAAAGATTCGACCAGTAATTGTCCACCAATAATGCAGTCTCCTAATAGGTATATTTTTATTTATCCAGTTCATTAGTTTTTCTTATCATTATTCAAGAATCATTGCATTAACTATTTTATTTTATGTTTATATTTAACTATACTATTTTATGTTTAAATATTTTTTATAAATATTTTTTAAAATAAATATTAAATATTTTTATAAATATTTATAAATAAATAAATATTTTTTATAAATATAAATATTTTTGGAGCAAAATGTTTATTAAACTATGACATGAAAAGACGACTCTGATAATTTTCTCCGAATATCTGTGATAATTAGTGGAGCGAATTCTACCTTACTAATTAATCAATATTAATCGCTTTTTAAAAATTATTTTAGATTTCGTCGTACAATGACTCATCCAACCTGGGATGTTACTAGTGGAGCAGCTGATGCTATTTCAATTAAAGTTGACGTTTCAGGAGTTATACTTCACGGAATTGGTGTGTACTGCGCTGATCACGATCAACAATATTTTTATACTTGTGAAGTATGTCTTATTATTCTTTCCTTGTTTTTAATCCAGTCACAATTTGCAGTGAAAAAAGATGGTTGCAGAAATATAATCTTAGGTTTTACCTCATAAATTTTAGATTTTATTAAACAACGGGGATGCCGCTCATGAGCAGTGGAATGTTCTTGAAAAGTTTTCTGGAACGTTGGTTTCAAATCAGCCTAATTCTACTATGAAGGAAATTGCAATGCTGAAACTCAGTAAAACTATTTCTATGCAACCCGGAATGGTTTATGCGGTTCGACTTAATATCACTGGTGGCAAAACATTCTGTGGTGAAGGTGTGTTGTCATTCATTTTCTGTTATTACCATGTTTCTTTTTGCATTTTTTTGGATAAGATTACAAAATTACGAAAATTTGTGAGGCTGTTCAGTTAATAAAGCGATAGTAATTCCTAAATTTGTCTTTTAAATGTTATTCAGATGCGGAATGGGCACTTTTTACAAGTAAGTGCCTTTCTCTGTATTTAAGGTGGTGTTGGAACGGTTCGCCTTTGTAATGGTGTTCGCCTGCAGTTTCAGCCATGCAGCTTAAGCCTCAATGGAACATCATTAGCTCGTGGCCAAATCCCTTTTGTTCTATATTCTATTAAAGAAAGTGAAGCAAAAAGTATTCAGCAGATTGCAGATAACGAAAAAGTATTTTTTTTACTGCTCCATCCGTATTTTGCTTCCTTACCTTCTTCTTATTGGCCTTTTATAATAATTAAAATAAGTTGAATTCATTGTTTCATTTGCAGCTATCTAATTGGTTTCTTTTATTAATTAGAATGCTGTCGGCCAAAATATCTGATCTGTTGGCTGCTAGGCTTCTTAAAACAAATGAAAGGATGGCATGCTCTAGCATTGCAGGTAAATTTTTTATAAATACACCGATGATTGTGATTATAGTTTGGTAAAAAGAATTTGAACTCTAATTGCTAATGATATAAGTAAAATTTTTCTCCTTCCTTTTGATTCATTTTATTCATTCGATTTATCTATTTTGCATTGCAGGTTATATAATGGTTTTTCTTGAATTAAATCCTAGACGTGCCTTGGATGTCATTTCTGCTTTAGATGATCTTATTCCGATGGTATCCTCAGCCAATGGTGAACGGCATTGTAACGAAAAAGTAGCTGGAAAGTAAGTTTTTATTTTGCTGTAAAAGAATTTTGTAGATCATGAATGGGTTTTTGCAAAGTAGCCAATCAGAGAAAATCGTAAAAGAATTAGATTAGGAAAGAAGAGTTATTTCAACTGCATTTTTCGGAAGATTAGAATTAAAATTGCAATAGTTTGGATATTTCTAACTTTCTCTTGTTTAAGCTTTTTTCTTCTAATTTTATTATTTTTTTTATTATCATTGTTATTAATATAATTATTTACCACTTTTATTTATTATCACTATTTAATCCCTTATTATTGTTATTGTTACCACTATTTTATTATTATTGTTGCTGTTATCCAGGGATTTGATTTATATTTAGGCTTAGGAATAACCAAAGAAAAACCAAACTCGTTTTATTTACATAGTTGTATTAGACTACCACAAAATATTATTGGTTAATGATTTGTTTAGCCTTTGAGCCGCCAACCATTTTTCATTTTTCTACTTCATCCAGTTAATTTAACTTTTTCATTTTATACTCACCAACTGTAACGAAATAAAAGTATTTTTGGTACAGTACTTTTCGTGTTTTGAAAAGTGCAATTCTGTGATAGTTTTATTTTCAGATCAAATAGTACTTGCGGATCCACTAGCCTTCAAATTGTAATTGAATCGTCTCACCCTTATATTCCATCCAAGATTCATTCACAGGTTTAAATTTATTACATTTTAGTACTGCGTAATAGTAAGAGCTATTTGTATAAGATGTACCTTTTTTTAGATTGTTAATTTTGGTGCATCAGTGCATTTTATGTTAGTACAGTTCAGTGAAGAGTGTGAAACATCTCAGGCTGACGATATTTTATGGCTGTATGCTCGATTAAATGATGAATCTTATTTACCAGTTGGAAGGTTAAATTCAATTTTTGGAAAATTCGCCGCGAAATGGTTAAAAAAGGATAATTAATGAAAAAACAAAAAGCAATTTTAGATTTTGTGGAAACAGAGATTGGCCAGATCGTATGCTGTTGGTTCCTGGCAACAGTTTGTGGTTTATATTAGAAACTTCTGCAAGTTCGGAAGATATCTTGGAAAAACAGGTTTCAGTTTTCTAAAATATCACTTCGACTGCATTGTTTATAAAAGAAAATGTTGGGGTCGACTGATGAGCTGATGAAATTCAAGCGAAACTGATCTCGACAAGATCTCTTCCGGTACAAAACTCAGATCAAATTGAGCTTGCTCAGTGTTGCTCAGTATTGTCAAAGCCAATAAAGTGTAAATAAGATTTGTTTAACGAATAAGAGTTGGATGAATTCTATAAGCTCAGGCATTAAATAATGACAAACTCTATTATCGATTACAATTATTTTCGAATGAATATTTTCTAGTGTTGCAAGCACAAAGCCCTTAAGACTTATTTTTATTTTTTAATTTTTGAATCTTATGATTCTGTACATTTGGGATTTCATGGTCGGTAAATTTTAGCAGTAAATTTTAGTTCTTCGATTCTTTGTCACATCTCATGGCAAGAAATAAGAAATGAAATGAATAGATCGTTTGGTTCCATTAAATAAAATAGTTACAGATGTATGGATATCGATGTACAGTCACCGGGTTTCTCTATACTGATATGGATTCGAATTTGGTTTTAGAAAAAGAGTTAACTTGGATTTGTGCAAGTGCATGTCGCTTACTCATTCAGGTCTATCTGAACCACATTATTTTTATTGTGCTGTTTCATTAAATTTCGTAGAACAAAGTAGAAAATGCCGGATTGGAGTTCCTTTAGAAATTTGATGCCAACAAAATATTTAGTTTATTATACCCTAGCACTCTGGAAAAGAATTCGCTTATTTAAAATCCTTGAGACTGATCGTAAAGCTAACAAACATATATTAACGTGTATTAAATCACCAAGCACCAAATATTGCCATCATAAAGGAGAATAGTAACCAATAGTTGGATTTTGAAATGTAAAACCTGTCATTTGAATTAGAAATGAAAGAATAAAAAGTAACCATTAGCTGGATTTTGAAGTGAAAAACAAATGGTAATATGAGTTGGAAATAGAAAAAGTGGTAGTCAAAGAAATATAAAATGCTTTGTGAAGCAACGGAGAATAATAAATTTCTTCGGATAATGCTGGAATAGTTCTGCATTTCGCATTGCTTTCCGAATTTCTTCAGTTCATCAAATTGTAGATACCGTCAGATCCAGTAATTCTTGATGCTATCACAATCGCTGAAGAAGAAATTCATGATATAATACAAAAGCATGGGTCGCTTCTTCGAAAGGGTTTGAATCTGTCGCACATACCTACAGTCAATGAAGTTTTGAAAAGAAGTTTGCCTGCTTCAAATTTAACTCCTGGTAATCTTTCATTTTACATAAGAGGAGAATTATTTCGTGTAATCATACCATTGAATCATATCATTGATATGGTGATAAATGCTGGGAACTGCAAATGCATTCAAATATAAAACGGGGTTTTTTTCAAAATATACAATTTTGATTTGCAACACTTTTTTTAATCTCTTAAATGAAAAGAATGAATATCTAAGAAAAAAATTTCTAAACTGAAAATTCCAATTTTTTTTCTAGGTTTGAAGTTTCTGCGGGAATTCATCGCTGGTTCATCAAATACTGTGGCTGGTTTCTTAGCAAGTTGGATGATGAATGAATCTGTAATAGACTGTCATAAAAGTCAGTTGCTCATACCTGAGGAAGATATACGAGTTGGTGTGCCAGTGCTGGTAAGTATTATGAGGAGTCGCTTAAAAAGCTTGCTATTTTCGCGTCTTTTCTGCATTTATTTATCCGAATCACATTTTTGTCATCCACTCGCTATATCTTAGGATTTTGAACGATCAAAAAGTTATTTTTTTCGCTAGGTCTTAAAAGAGTGGTTGTTTTAAGGGCTATACAGTTAACTGCCTCGCGACCTTCAAAATCTTCGAGTTTTTTCTCCTTTAGATACATCTTGTGCCTCGGGACCAGTATGGTAGACTTGCGTTATGTTCATCAATGAAAGTGGAAGTGTTAGTACGAAATGGAGGTGCCGATCAAAGTTCCGTGGGCAATGGTGCAGTTCAAGGAAGGCCTTCAAATCCTTTGACTACGTTGGTTCCCACATTAGATCAATTATGCAAGGTAACTTATGATTATATTCAGTTTTTGAATTTTCTACCATGATCATTTTATCTCAGCTATTTAGGAACCGTTTCGCCCAGTTTATTTGAACAGAGCTCGGTACATGTCAATTACAATGATGGCAAATTTTGCCGATTATTCGTTCGAAGAACTGCGATTTGCTTATATTCGATCAACCATATTTAGAGACTATGTTGCTATGAATTTAAGTCCGAATGGAAGGTTTGTTTGTTTGTTTTTAGTCGAATAATGCAAGCATGCTCGATTTTGCATTTGAATCTTGTAGGTTGTATCCATTACCGATGTCTTTTTATGTTGCATAAACTAAAAGTCATGTCTTTTTGTTGTAATTTTTACATTTAGACTTTATAAAAGGCTGCATGAAGAGATTATTATATTTCCCAGTTTTATTGCCAGATTAGACAACCACTCCACTTTCCATGAAATATGTCTGTCAAGCAATCTAATTCAATTTATGTAGCTCATATTTTAAAATTTTTTAATGGTTTTGCTTGTTTCTAATTGCTTGGAATCATGACTGAAATTTAATTGAAAAATTCTTTTTTTTAGCTTCTGTGGTGAATGGTTTCCTCGAAAAGCTGGAACATATCGTATTGAATGCAAATTGGATGGTTTTCAATTATCACAGAGCTATCTTCTGGAAGTATTTTTTCTTAAAATATTTTGAATTTTGGAAAGAGGGAATTCTTTTCTGCAGCTTTGTAATATTCATTGATTCTTAATATTGTTCTTTAAAGTCCGTGCCTATAAATATTGCCATATGAAATACTTTAATGGCCATACTTTTTTATTTAGTAAACCTGTAAATTTCATTTTTTGAGTGCATTGTAGGTAGTCGATGATATTGGTCCAGTATCTGCCATTTCAAGACCAAATGACACTAGTTTGAAGAGTAAAAAAAGACGCATAGCTCATTTAAGCAGGTATTTTTGTTGCGACTCGTTATGTGATTGGTAATAAATAAAATAAACCTTTAGGATATGAAACAAAGGGTTCACAGATTTACCGCAGCTAATAAAAATTGCTTTTCCAAGATTATCATTTTTATATCTTTAATATCTTTATATCGAATGAAAATGGTTACAAAATACATGAGCGAGTGAAAGGCTTCACGAATTGGAATCCAATAAAAGTGAAAATGTGATTCTAATAAACAGTCATGAAAGCATTAGTAAAATATTCAAAAATAATTTCGTGGCACATTTATCATTTATTATTGGTAACTATAGAATTAATTTCAGGGCTCGATTTGCGGTTTGTGATCAACGAATTATGTCAAAAGGAGTACGTATTCGTGCAACACCAACGCTTAATGCCCTGCAAATAGGAATTATTTCTCGAGGACATACCGTGTCGTATGTTGAAGAGATTGAAAATAATGATGGTATCTGGTTGCGATTAACAGATGAAGCAAGTGCAATGCACTGTGCTGCACAATTTCCTACCCAAGTCAGTTGCATGAGTTCTTATTGGTTGTTATAGATAGCCACTTGTTCTATTCATGGTGAAATTGAATATCATGAGAGCTAGTACTTTTTTAAAAATATATTATTAAGTTATTTACAGGCATGGTGCCTACAATATAGCAAACATCTCGACCGTTCCTTTCTACTATTAGAGTCGGATGAAACTGATCATATTGAAAGTGAAGGATTACAGTTAGATGCAAAAATTTCTATGACAGTTCCGGCACAAAATATAAATATAGTTGACGAGTTCGGAGAACATTCTCTGCTTATGGAAGCGAAAGAGGTTTTTTTAAAAATAAATTGGAATCTCTTATTATGTTTATCATATGTTCTATTAATTCCTATTTTCCTATTTTTTTCACTTTTTTTATTTGTTCAGAATTTTTTATTCATTAACCATCTTAACTTACTGCTTTATTTAGGTTTATATAATTCCAAGTGGTACTTCAGTGGCTCTTCATGAAGATCCTTCGCTGGATTCAAATTCTAGCGAAACTATTGATGGATCATTCCAGCTGGAAATTAAATCAGATGGTTGGTTGCACAATAGGCAAGGGATATGGATACGGCTTGTTGATTTTCAGCACAAATATGCTCTTGCTCAAGTATCAACCAAGTTTCTTGTTGATTTTTTCTTCTTTTGCTTATGCAAAATATTTTTAACGCCAATGAATTTTTATAATGAAATTTTGCGCACTCTTTTCATTTTTGAATTTATCCAAATGGAAAAGTCGAAAGTTCATTTTTTATTGCAAATATTGATAAAGGTAATTCATTTTACTGTAAAAATAATAAAAGATTTAAGGACAATAACGGTCAGTGCTTTTTGCAACGCAAAAATTCGCTTAATCATCACTTATCTAATGGTAACGATGGAGAAGGGTTATCACCTTGTTCTCACAAACCTGTTGCCCAAATTCCTCCTCGATCCAGGTTTCTTTTTTAACATTCTTAAATATAAATATGCTTAATACAATTTCCGATTTTTCTATTTGTTCTGCATTTAAATTATATATATATATATTAATACAGAAAAGAACAACCAGTTAAAGCAACCCGACCATCTATTGCCGACTGTTGTCGCACAGTTTTTGCTGCTTTTTTATGGCATGAAAAATTAGTTAAAGATGCAATGGTCTGTAGCACATATCTGAAATTTCATCCCGAATTACATCAGGCATGTTTTTCTCATATGTCAGTTCGTCGCTATAATTTTTAATTTTCGTCAGAAGAGCAGTTTTTTGTTTGTACCAAAGCTTTTATTGTACCTAGAAGTTTCTGCGAATCTAGTTCATCAGCTTAATTCATATCTTCATTATATTCTTTAGTATTTCCTTATATTTTTAGTTTAATATAAAGTATAATATAAAATATCGAATAAAATAAATGGGAAAGAAATTCTGTTTGGTTTAATTAAAATAAAGTTTCCAGATGAATGGATTTTTATAGATTTTTGGTAATAAAAAACTCATTAGGAGGGCAAGAATTTTAGTGTTTTTACTAATATGCTCACTAATTTACTAATATAATATACTAATTTTTTAGTGTCCTTCTACACAAGATCGTATGGATCTAATAACTGCAACACCTTTACATTCGTTAACTCTTCTATGGCAAGAAATAAATAATTCTGTTCAAAGAAGTATTGAACAGCATTTAATTTTACCTAGTCCACCTTCAGTGCGCCACTTTAACTTACGGCCTATCAGTTCAAATATCGCTGGAAACAATCAGGTAACCAATTTATGCAAATGTTAACATTATATTTTCAAAAATAATATATTTCCTTGGCTAGAAATTTGTTGCTTCCTCACTTTTTAGCTTATGAAATTTAACCAGACGATTGATTTGAAATTTATATTTTTTGTTTTTTGTGTATGTTTATTGTGTATGTTTTTTAATATAATGACCTATGATTACAAAGGTTGATAAAGTTTTAAGCTTCTAAGTGACTAAATTTGAATCAAATTAGGCTCGGACTACGAAAAAAGATGATTTATGTGAATTATGTGAAGAATGGCATCCAACACCTGTGACAACTCATATGCGCATGGCACATGCTGGGTGTGGTAAATGCAGCGGAGGTCATGGTTATAACAGCCTAGGAAAGTATACGAGTGGTTGGTCAGGAAAATGTGGTGACGGAGGTAGACCAAATGCTGTATGGTCAGTTAGCAGATAATGAGGATTATTATTTATCTCATTTCATCTTGATGATTATTAACATTTGCCTCATAAGTTTATTTGAAACTCATTTATTTCAGGTACTTGATGTGTACGAGTTGTAGATCAAAGCACATGATGCAAACTCCAACAGCTCATCAGCAGGTTCAAATTTTTTGTTATATTACATATTTTTTCAGAAATAAAAATTTTTAGATTATCAAGTAAAATATTTTTTCAAGAATTTCTAGAATATGTAGGTGGTCAGTATATATTATATATCAGTATATATTGTCAAAAATATTTTGAATCATCCAGCTTTGTTAATATTTATTGATATTCTTAATTTTGGAAGGGTCTGCAATTGAAAATGATTGTTTTCATCAATATTTTTTTAGTATCTTCATTTAAATCGCAGAAACCATTTAGAGGGGATATAAAAATATATAGTGAGCACTTTTTTACTTGTGATTTTTCATAGGAAAGAAATAGACGATGGCGTGAATTTCGCATGACAGCAGCAGCGAATGATGTTACTCCTGAAACTGTCATTAAGGAAAATGCCAATTTCCTTCTTGATTTGAATTGTTCCGTTGATGGAGATAGTAAGGAAAGTTCGATTTCAACATCCGGATGGACAATTAATTTGTTTCCGCAGACATCTTTATCTCCACCAACTCTTCGTTCGGCTTGCGCTCAAGTTGGATCAGGCTTGCTATTGCAACAGGTTAGTTATTATTATTTTTTTCCTAGTTTGTTTGTTTGTTATTTTTATTTTTTAAACTGATTTTTTGGTTCGTGAACCAGTTGATTCTCATATGTTTGGTTTTCAGGCATCTGCTAATGAAAAATATCGATCGCATATGCGAACTTTTTCTCATGCTAGTGACCCAGGTCCTAAGGACTCTTTGCCGCATCTTCTTGTATCCACTTGCAATACATTTGCTTGCACCTCCAAGGTTTTTTGTTTTTTAGTCATATACCCGTTTTATATTAGTAGATAATATGAAAATCGCTAAAAATTCAAGCTGCTTCGAATTTTATGCATATATAGCTATAGAGTATTGATATCTCTTTGGATGATCTATCCTGATTAATATCAAGTAGAACAAGTTCGAATCTGTTCTTTAACAGGATTAAACTTGTATCTTTAATATTCATGCTATCGGCTTGGTCGGCTTGGTTAGTATTAAATGTTTTCACAAAATCTTTCTAATTTGCTTGTGATTTATGCGCAGATTGGTTCTTCTCCCATAACATATGGTAATTGTCACTCTGGAAATGGCGAATTCGCATCTGCTTTACGTCGTCGGTTAACTGATTGTTATGAAAGGCGACAGTCTGTTGAGGTATTTACATTATAGCGTGAAATCTTCGAACCATGAACATTTTGAGAATTGGGAATAAATCTAATTGAAAATTAAGAATTTTTTCATCTCATTTTGTTCTTTCAGATAATGCGCAGTCCATCAACAGCTCTAAAATCGTTGTTACATAATAGCAAACAGATAAGCAGTGGCGGAAGTCATAATTCATTAGGTTCACCAAAAATTTAGTTTTATTTTTTTTAAGTTAAAATACAAGTTAATTGAATCAAACTGATAATTTTCTGACATTTCAGGAAATGTAAGTGCATCATTGCGTCGCCCTGTACTCGCATTTGTTATTGAGCGGCATGATCTTAAGCGTATCCGTGAAGCTATGGCGACTGCAATTGCTCGCGCAATATTTTTTTCACATTCTTTCCGTGTTTGGAATTGGTTATTGAAATTAGTCTCTTCAGAATCTAGGTGAAGATCTCTTTTTTTAAATCATATCTCTTTATATTCTAATTATCTTGTTTTTCGTTTCAATTTGATTTCATTTTTAGTCGCCTGAATTGATTTTTTTTCGTGGTACGATTTGGATAAAGTTTCTTAACTAATTTCACCCTCACAATTTGAACTTCTTTTCAGTGTGTCAGATATACTGTGGCAATATTTGACAGCTCTTACATCTTACTCGCCTCTATGTAAGTGGAATAAAGATGGTTTACGGATAGCGACGAACTTGAAGCTCTTGCCTCATCCGTGGAGAGTTTGCTTCCTTGCAGGTCCTATCGCAACAAAAATGATCCATCAAATGCATTCATTTCTTTACACATTAGCAGTGATTTTGCAATCAAGTGGTGTGGATCATAGTTTACGTTGTTTGTGTTTTCGTACGTGGACCTTCCAGCTTACTGCTCATGAACAAGTTGGTTTAAAAATTGAAGTCAGTACAAGTAATTTAAGATTATTAGGTCGATAGTTTCGAATTCCGGAATTGTTTCTAAATTGTTATACCAAATCAATGGAAAAAATTTTTTTCATTTTCTTTTACGCATTTTTAAAATGTGAAGTTCATTAAGATTATAGCCATCTGGCAAATGTTCCATAGAAAACTTGGGAATTTCCCTTTTTTTAGGGCATCTCATTCAGGAATAAAATTTTTCTTTTTAGGATCTATTAGTTGTACTGTGCAATGTATTGGCAACTGTAGGAGATGTACTATCTGACCCCTCTTCCGATCAGTCATGGACCCAAGATGATTGTGACGGACGAAATGCTCGATCAATTCCATGTAAATCACAACAACATCATAAATGTTAGCCCCATATTTTTGATAAGTTTTTGATCATATTTTTTAAACTTTTTTGTATAATGAATAACATCCCAAACACAAAACGCTCATTTCTACTGGTTCAAAATATTTTTAATGATTTAATAATTATTTTGGTGCAAATTAAATATTTTTCGCTTCAACGATAATCAGATTTTTTGCCAGATAAAAATGACTACAGAATACGTCATTTCTTGGCCATTTCTTGGTCATTTATAAGGCTAATTTAGGTCAACCCGATGTAAAAGAAATGGAAGATATTACTTCCTATGTCGAATGTGAAGCATCTAGTCGGCAGGCTATGGTCGTGTGTTTAACTGATGGAAGTAGCGAAACTTTTTGGGAAAGTGGAGAAGAGGTAATCTTTAGAAAATAAAATCAATCTTATTTTAGTATAAGTAAATGTTTGACGTTTTAGGGGAGTTTTAATTTTTTCCGGATAAGAACAAATATTTTCAGGATAAGAACAAATCACGTACTCTAACAGTTCATTGTCATAATGAACACATTAATGCTGTGTTGCTGGCTGTGCATGTAGACAATATTCGTGATGAAGGGTATCGCACGAATTCGGTTACAATTTTAGAAGTAGAGCCTAGAGAAATTCGTCGAAAGCTTTATTCTGAACAACTCGATCATGTATGCTTTTAGCTTAGAAAAATTATATTTCTTCTCGTTCACCATTAAAATTTTATATTAGTATTAGCTATATATTAGATATATAATGTATACTAATATATTAGTATTAGATATTAAAAATTCAAATTAAAATTTATATTTTTACGGTTTGGGGCTATTCATGGCTTTCACCATATGAAATGCACCAAATGTTGTCAACCAGATGCTTAAAATTTGCTTACTTCAGCAATTCATTGGTTGGATCAAATGCTCGATCGCAGGCATAAATACTGTTCAGATAATATTCAGAGGCAGCAACGCATCTGTGCGAATTCGTCAGGTATATTTCCTTCTTCATTCTATGTTCATATATTTCTTTCTATGTCTTTTATAATTATAATAATTATTACATATTGTTTCAGCTTCGAGTATTCGGGTTTATAATTAAACCGGGTCATATAGACAGTCCAATAAATCAGCGAAGTCCACTTAGACCATCGATTTCTGATCAACTTTTATTCAGTTCAGCTCAGATAGATGCATTTGCACTATTTCAAGCCATTGCTGCTCAGGTTACCCGTTTCTGTTTTAGTTCTGTTTTAGTAACCAAGTTTATTTTTTTATATTTTTTGGTCACAGCTGATTGAATTTTTCAACAAATTGTTGTGTTTTTAATGAATCATTTGAGTGTGATTAGGTGGTATTTTGAAATATGTGAAAAGCAGCAATATTATTGATTAGTTAATAATCAGTTATGAGAATATAAAAGTAATTTATCATAAGAGGACGTTTTTTAGGCTTTTAGTGATGAATTTTCTCAAGAAGAACATGGCACGTTACGTCAACAAGTGCTTGAATTGCTTTTCAGTCGTGTGCAGTTGCAACCATTGCAAAATTTTGTTTGTTCTCAAATGGTTAACGCTTTAGAAAGGTTCATCCTTCTTATTTAAATTATTTATTTAAATTATTTAAATTATTTAAATTATTATGCTATGTATATTCTTATGGTCTGTCTATTTGATTAAAACAAAAGGGATTTGAATGAAATAAATAAGCAGAATTAATAGTCTGTCAGCCATTTTTAGTTGTTATCCAAAAAATTTTGCGATATTAAGGGTGATGGAATTCGTTTTAATCAATTTAATTTCTTATAGAGAGGTATCAAGTTTACGTGAAAGAATGAAGAGGAATTATTCATACGCTTGTGGATTGATGGTAATGCTAATAAAAATTTGCAAATCTAGACAAGGACTTGAAGTGTTCAGCGTTCAAAACAATTTGCTGATTATACTAAGCGAATTGCTTCTTTTCGCACCTCAGGTTACAAATTTGTGATAAAGTTCTTTCTTTATCAATTTCATATCGATCCATTCTTTAGTTTTCAGTATTTTTTGAGAAAAAGGTCCACCAATATTAGAATTTAGTTTATAATTTATAATTTAGTTTAAAATGGGTAATGCAAATTTTCTTTTATATATTATCAAGATAATAAACTTCAGAACAAAATGAGTGGTGCTATTTTCATATAATTACTCTGAATATCAACTATATTCTCATTCATTGTAAAGTTAACTTATTCTAAATCAATCTTTTAGGTAGTTCAGTGCCAAGTAATCGAAACGATAGAGTGTCTTTCGCGTCTTTTCAATCCGAAATCAGTTGACTGTCACAAATTCGTGCAAAATTTGTTAGCCGTTGTTGCTAAAGTTATAACGTTGCAGGTTAAGGATAAAAGTACTCATAGCATAATGAGTGCTACGCTTTTTGTTAGTTTTTTTTTTGTTTTTGACCAGTCTTCGCTGTTTATCCCAGTTCTTGATTGATCGAAGAGAGTCTGCAGTTAAACACTGTTTTTTTTGCTCAAAACTTTTTCTCAATTCTCAAAACTTCGTGTCAAAACTTCGATTATTCTGATTAAAAGAAATTTTTTTTTTAAAAAATTTTCACCATTGCTGGTTAAACTCGCTCCGCTGGATTTTTGGACTGGTTTAGTGAAATTGAAAAATAGGAAAAAGAAATCCCTTTTTTTTATAGGAAGAATGACGCCAGCAATCCATTTTTTAAAATTTTTCGTCTGAGTTAATTATTAGATCATTAAATTTAGCGAAAAAAATTCTAGACTCAAGTCACAGACGCCCCACAACATTGGCGCATCGATCGTTCAATCACAGTTGATATTGGAAGACTTGCGAAGCAATTTCTCGCGGATATTAGGTTTGTCAGTTTTATTGCTGAAACTTAGCCAAATGTTAAGCTATATTTTTTAAAATGATTTTTTGCAAAAATTCTGATTATCTAAATCTCGAAAATTGAATTTCAGCAGTGGATCAATTAATGAACATTGGGCGCTAGCGGTCAAGACTGAATTGGCTAACCAGGTAATGAATTTTAGTCGCCTTGTTTCAAGTCGATCAAAAAGTCTGGAAGCAGTGTCATCGGGACTTCAAGTATCTGCTGAATCTGGTGTTCTTGGTGCATCGCGAATTGATATAATAAAGATGGCAAAATTCTGGCTTTCCATAGCTGCTTTATCTTTGTTGAAAGATTCAAAATGGCTTGAGCTGTCTTCGGTATGGCAAAGCCTTAAGGTATGCAAACTTTTCGTTATTAGTATGGTCACCAATTTTTCTTAGATTAGTTTTTATAGCACGAATTTTTAAAATTGGGTATTTCACAGCACATATTAATATATCCCTAAATATTTTGGTTGCGAAATTATTTTTTATGATTTAGTGGTCTTTTAATAAAATTGAAGCTGCTGGTGAACTCATTGTTTTTGCTTAAAAAAGGTTGACTTTTTGAAGTATTCTTCGATAATCTGATTCAGCTGATTCTATAGTATTGTATGTGAGAATCGCTATATTTTGCAATTTCGCTGCTATTTCATTTCTCGATTATGGCCTTTGGTTCATAATGAAGGTCAGTGTCATTTATAGGCCAATAAAGATCAAGCGCCTGAACCATTCTGTGATAATCATGATGATGGTCAAACGCTTGCGAGAGTTTATTGTGAGGTGTGTCAGTGCTCCCTCTGTCAGGACTGTTTCACTATACTTCATTTGAACAGAAGAAACAGGTATTAATTTTGAATTATCTTATTATCTTATAAAAGAATTATAAAAAAAGAAATAAATGTTCTAGCACTTCATGGAATTCCATGTGATAAGAAGCAGTTTCATATAGGCTCGAATTTCTCACGAATTTCATTGGAAGGCTTATTATTACTTTAGTAAGCGGGTATGGTTTAGCTTAGTGGAATAAGTAAAAATGCTTACTCACAGGAGTCATGAAGTTCAAATCGTTGGATCGGCTAGCGGATGCCCGCAAGTTGACATTCATGAAGGATGTACAAGATTCCGAGTTTCTCATTTTATGGTATTTTGTTTTCATTTACGTTGTTGCATTGTTTAATAACATTATAGTTTTTTGGGAAGTAGAAGGAAAAATATATATATATATATCTACTGTAAAGTAAAGATGATATGTTTTTAATTATATGATTAAGTGAATATTTGGCACAGAATAATTTTAAGGTTTATGTGAGTTTGCGCGTTAAAGATTTGGTTTGCTACGTAATAAAATATAATTTTCATAATATTGGATATATTTTAGGTTTTAATTCATTCATCTGCCTTAAATGGCATGGTTGAATTCATTTCTGGCAATACAAAGGAGCTAATCGAGGCTAATATAAAATCTGCGAATAATTTTGGTATTTTTTCCACTAACTTATATTTTTATATTTAATTTATATCATATTTTTCCCTTTTAAAAATTAATCTGCTGATTATGCGTATAAATTTTCCCACAGCCAACAGATACAGGAAATCAGATAACCATTGAGCTGAAAATAATAAATTCACCTGTTTCAGGCATAGGCTTATCAGTACAAGCCACTACCTCTGCAGCTTCACGATTATGTCGTTTCTGTGGTAACCAGTTAAACACCAGTCATGAAGTAAATTTTTTTTTGCATTGTTATGAAGTAATTCATGTCTTATTGCGAGGAAACTAACTCCACTCTTTTGTAGCGTTTAATCGGATTGTGTGGCTATGAAGAGTGCAAGCAACTTGCGGCATTTGCTTGTTCAAAACTCTTGAACTGTGGTCACCTGTGCGGTGGAATTCGTGATGAGATCACTTGTTTACCATGTTTGAACTGTACTAAACCAGGTTTCTTATCTTTTTTTCTACTTTTTCTATGCCTATTATAATATATCATATATAATAATATATATCAGATATAATATATCATGTGTTCGCTCTAAATTGTTATAGAAATGCGGCAAGATGCCGATGATCTTTGCGTTGTTTGTTTTGTTGATCGTCTTGGCGGTGCACCTTGCATACTTTTGGATTGTGGTCATATTTTTCACTACTGTTGTGTTAAAACTGTTCTTGAAAAGCGGTGGAATGGTCCAAGAATTACTTTTCGCTTTATGCATTGCCCTCTGTGTAAGAAACAGGTAAAGAATATTTTTGTTTTTCGCGCATCTTTTCCGAACAAAGGTAGCTTGGTTCACTAAAAAGCTTATATTTAAAAGCGAGTGAATGTTTCATCTTAATCTGTTTATTCCAATTTTTCTAAAGTTTTTGCTTCTCTATTTTATTCATTTAACAGATTGCTCATCAATCGTTGAACGATTTGCTTGCTCCTTTGAAAGTCTTATACGAGGATGTAGCCACGAAAGCACGCTTGAGGCTTGAGTATGAAGGACTGTTACAATCCCCAGCAATAGTATCACAAAACAGGTTGGGTAGTACTTTCATTAATTATCTATGATTTGCAGCTTTTAGAGATCATGATTATTATCTGTTCAAATAATCCAAATAATCCAAATAAGGTTCTTGAATTCAGTGAATTCTTCGAAAATCCTGAAGCTTTTGCCATGGATCGCTACATGTATGTGCAATGTTTTAAATGCAACAAAGCTTATTTTGGTGGTGAAAGTCGTTGTCAACAGGTTACTGTTTTCTGCTAGCGATTTTTATTGGCAATTTTTTTTATTTTATTATTATGCTTACTGTGACTGTTTGAATGAAGTCTTAACGTTTTTTAACGTTTTTTCGTTTTTTGTGTAGAAAAAAATATAAAACATTTGTTTCCCTAGCATCTTCCTTTATTTACTTTTTTCTTATATGAGGAACTCTACTTGCTTCAATCATTCATTACAGGCACTTGACGATTCACATTATAATCCGGAAGAATTGGTTTGCGGTGGATGTTCAGATGTTGTTGGAGCTCAGGTATGTGGTCGTCATGGAATGGATTATTTGGAATACAAATGCAGATTCTGTTGCTCGGTCGCGGTGTATTTTTGGTAACTCTAATTTTCTTGAAATATTTTATATTCTATACATTTTGAGAAATTTCTATATATTTTAATTAACGGTGGAAATACCTTTTCATCGGTTTTTTAAATGTGTTTTTGACTGCTTACTGCAGAACTTTATTGTTTTCATAGTTGATATTCTTCAAATTCTATTTCAGTATTTCATTTCTATTTCCTCTTCCAATATTTATTTTTATAGCTTCGGTACAACTCATTTTTGTGCTGCATGTCACGATGAGTTCCAGCGATTGATGTGCTTACCGAAGCAGCTATTGCCGAAATGTCCTGTTGGACCAAAGGGAATGCAGTTGGAAGGTGGTGCGTGTCCATTAAAAATTCAACATCCTCCAACTGGTGAAGAGTTCGCACTTGGATGCGGCATTTGCCGTAATCTTAGTACTTTTTGATTTCGAGATGAGTATGTTGTGTATCTCATCATTTGTTTTTGGTGCTCCCTGAGCAGGTACCAGGTAGCAGAGCTGTAGACGTTGTAAAACTTCGAGATCTCTCAGTGTTGAACAATTGGAGAAAAGTCCTCATGGCCAGTTGAAATTCTGTTGTATTTTCGGTCATCGTAATTCTCAATTCGTTCACCAAAATTTTTTATTTGCTGTTTTTTAAGCCGTTTTAATATTTTTTTCCTTAAAATGATGCAAACTGATAGTGAACGTCTGACATATTGGTCTATAGGCTAGCAAAAACATGTCACCTGGTGTTCGGCTTTTGATTTGGGATAAAATTGATTAAATGGGTCAAAGGACGTCTTATATTATGTGGCAGAACAAAAGTTTACATCATTATCTTCGCTAAATTTAATTTATTCGCTTACTTCTTCAAATGTTTTAGTCGAATGGCAAAATAACTATATAAGAGTATAAATCGAACAACATGAATGAAGTCATGTGAAGATGTTGCATTTAGGGTAATAAAAAAGTTTATCCTCTCCATCAATCATTCCACTGAGGTATGCTCACGCGGTCAGAAAGTCAAATTTCCGAGTTCAACGATATAGTGAGAAGGAATGTTGATTCAGTGGTAATTACTTTTTTAAACTGATCTGCATTTTATTTTTTTATGATCGAAGTAAGGCTAAAGTCACTTATCATATTCCACATACGTTCCAGGCATTTAGCACTTATTGAAGGAAACAGGCTCAATATCGCGTTAATAACTTCATATTCCATTGTTTTGAATTTTGTTGATTGAATAAAATTTGTTATTTTTGTTTACAGTTAAGAAATGCATAAGTTAAAATTTCTTTTTAGGGTGAGCAATTCAAATGTGATGTGCTGAGCGACATTTTGGTCTCTCATTAAACATGAAAAGACGAAATCGGAATTTTCCAAAATTAGCTAAGCTGAGGCAAATTGAATTAAGAAAAATTGAATTAAGAAAAAATGGCTGTAAAAAGGAGCGAGAAGATTTAAATATTTCTTTAAATGTTCGTGGATAGCTAATTGCACTGTTTTTTTTCTTGAATTAGTGAGGAGCTATGGTGTTCAGTAATTAAATTATTTCTTGTGATAGTCAAATTCTGGTTATTAACATTCTTCTATTTTTGAAGATTTAGTTAACCATTCTTCCCGTCTTTATTTTTAGCAATTCTAATTGTTCGAAAAAATTTGAACCAACAGTCAAACAAGTCAAAATCACAGCCAGGACGAGAAGCATGCAATAAAAAATTTTCCATAAAAACATTGGAAAATTTGTGAAATCGTCCTTGAAGAATGCAAAGATGCAAATTCAAACGCAATTAGGATGAATGACCGACGACTGCAGTTGACTCAATCGCTACCCACCGTTCTTTATTCGTTGAACAACAGATGTTAATTTTTGTACGTATTTTCTCCGAACTTTGAGCTGACCTTTCAATTATTGATTTCGTTTCATTAGCCTACTTTAGTCGATTCTCGCCATTATTTTCATGCCAAATTCTAGGTTATTGAACCATCGTTTCTAGTGCATGGCCATTGAGCTAAAAAACTGAAAAAGGCATTCTTACGGTAAATATTTTTTTGTTAACGGATATTCTTTGCCTTTTTCTCTAAATTAATATTAAAAATAATAATTTTTAAACAAATGTTGGATTTATTTCACCGATTCATTCATATTAAACATTAAAAAATCGACGATATATAACTTAATTGTTCGTTATAGAATTTTATCATTAATTGACTTTATGAAGAAATATGGATTCCTCGAAAAATTCAATATTTGTTTTAAACTGAAATATGAATTTATCCATTTCAAGATGTTGCTTGTTTTTTTATTGCATTTTAATAATAGTGGCAATAATGCGGAAATTTTCAAATAACTGTCCAACTTATAAATTAAAATTTGAAAAATGGAAACTTTAATTAGAGATTTTACCGATCTACGCTCGAGTAACCAATAGAAAAGCATATAGTATGAACAGCAATATTCAAATTATAGGGAAACGTGATAGTGAAAATACGGGATTATTACGCATCAGCGATCTTATTTTAGCACCGTGGAAGATTGCTGAAAGGGAAAAAAAATATTTGAATACAATATAAATGTGTTAAAAGGTCAAAGATTTCATTTCATGACCTGTAAACCCGAAGTTATTCATTTATGTTTTCCTCGAGTTATCTCGAAATGTTAAATTAGATGTTGGGCGCTAAAAAAGTCGTTGTCGGGCACGTTTCAATCTCATTTAACTGAATTTCTTTTTGATCTCTTCATTTTGAAAAACAGCTGTGTCGGTATTGCAGTAGGAATTGCATTGCCCACATTATGAATTTATAAAATAAATGAAAGCCAAAATTTTCGAATGCTTCAAATGAACTATGACGAGCATTATCAGAGCTTAGAGGACTGCATAAGTTTGCTTACAGAACCACAGATGTTGTGTGCAGAAATATTTCTGCTTACTTCAGTTTTCTGCTTCTCTTTTATGCGAGGTAACTGCAACTCCTTACGACCAAATTACCTCGGCGATGTGGAAGCACATATGACTGTCGTAAGTTCGTTGTTAAATTTTTATAAACAATTAATTATTTGCGGTTCAGTGCGGCATTTTTCGCCCTTTCTCGCTTGATTTGTCTTCCTTCTAATGCACTATGGTAGGGCTCATTATCAGTGCGATTCAATTGGCTCCCTTTCTTGCTACAGGAGTTGCAGATGGCAATTGGAATTCGCTCAAAACGATGAAATTAAGTCGAAGTTATATTGAGTGAACCATTTCAACTTAAAAAACAAAAGGAAAAACCAACAACCATCGTTGTTGCAGACCATTTTATTTTTTTTCAGCTAATATAAATAATTTCTAAAAAATTACAGCCAGAAATAATTAATCGATGGGGATATCCGGTGGAAACGCATACAGTAACGACAGAGGACGGTTATATTCTTGTTATGCATCGAATACCTCATGGTCAAAAAGGTTGTTTTTCTCCCATCAGTCTTCCTTTCAGCATCATTAGATGCGAGCATTATCAGAACTTAGGATTGTTCAAGGATCGCCTAAAGAAAAAACCGGGGACAACCGCTTATGACCAAATTTATCCATTTATCCATTTATAACAGTTTATCCATTTAAAGAAAAATTTGGTGCATTTAGCAATCAAAAATTTATTCTATTCGGATACATTATTTGCTTTTATGATCGATAAATTCCCGAAAATCTTTATCTATGAAGACCATAAATCAGAACCGATTAATGGACGCATAAGACTAGGATTAAAACAAGGCATTGAAGGCAGAATAGCCAAGTGGTATGTTGCTATAAAAAGAGGTTAAACATCGCATGTTCCTTTCCGGGAGTAAATCTGTATCAAAAGTGTAGTTGAGATAAAGTTGCATCTGTACTTCCATTTCCAAGGCGAAATGTCTCATCCTTTTTCATCCTATTCAACAGAGCCAACCAAACTAGAAGTGGTGTGGATTGTTCGAAGAAGGAAATAAAATAATGGAACTAAAACTAGTTCTCGAAATTTCGATAGTTTCATAGAGGATCTAAGAGCTGATAATTAATCAAGAGGATTATTAACGCAAAGTTTAATTTAAAAGAATTTTAGAAAGTCGTAACAGCAGTGTTTCGAAACCCATAATTTTTCTTCAACATGGACTGCTCTGTACAAGTTCGGTATGGATTATGAATCAACCTCATCAGTCAGCAGGTCAGGATCATGAGTTAATCAATAAATACTTCGAGTTATTCGTAGTAATTCCTTTTCTTACAGATTTCCTCAAATTTTCGCGTCTAAAGCTTCTGTTAAAGTTTAGTTTCAATAGAAGTAAAGAAATGATGCAAAAATAAATTGTTATGGTAGACCGATACTTGATATTTATTACCAAAGCTACAGATTTGGAGAAAAATTTTTCTTCAAATTTTTCATGCAATTTTAGTTTAGTCTTGTTTAACTTGACATTCACTGATTATTTATTTAGGCAACAATCAAGCAGGAATAAGAAAACTATGTACCTCTTACTAGCAAAATGAAACAGTTAAAAAAAATAAAAAAATAGAAATAAATCAGTATTATTGATTATCACTGGAAGATAATGGAGAGATAATATATATGCTAAAGTTCTCCAAAATTTTGCAGATTTGAATGCTTATAAACTGAAAATTTATGTTTTTTGAATTCTGCAGTTACTAAAAAATTCTGTCATCTTCCATTAGCCGAAAATTTATGAGCATCTTAACTGAGCAAATTTTCTATCTTTATAGCATTTATTTTTGCTGATCTCGGGTTCGATGTATGGATGGGGAACAATCGAGGAAATACTTATTCTAGAAAACATTTGAAATATAGCGCCAGAAATCGGCAATATTGGCATTTCACGTATGTTTAAGGGCCCTATTGTATTTTAAATGAATTTCCACGAGGTAAGCTTTAAAAATCACATGCAAACAGGGTTTAAGGTAAATGTCTAATACTCAACGAATAAATTGGTCATCCAGAAAGCTTCTCAATTTCTGATATCTGATTTTAGCGCTAAATGTTTTTATTGTTATGCAGAATAGGTTTGAATAAATTCTCGCCGCATCGCATTTCTTTCCCTTAAAATGACCAATATTTTCTGCTTGATTAATGAAATTTACTTTAATTTAATTTAATTTAATTTGACATTAAATGTCTGATTTTTGATTTCTGGCACTTCACTAGTTCAAACTGAGATGTTGGCCAACATAGGCATATAGAGGTTTGTTGACGAAATAGCCTTTTGACACTTTATTGAAAGATCTAAGGATAGTTTAAGTATCCGAGAAGTTATAGCGGCGTTTAACATAAATATTTCCGGAGCCACCTAGGTTCGATGCGGAAAAGCTTGACTAATTAATACAATTCTTAGAAAGGTGAGTTTGAAGTTTTATCATTAGTTTTTTTTTCTAGAACGGATCTGTGGTGAAAAATTGGTTTTGAACTATATCTGAAAAAAAATCGGCTTGACAAAGATAAACCACTCGAAGAAGATTGGGATGATATTTGGTAATCTGCCACTAGATTAATCCATTTAGCTTCCCAGATTATAACGTAGTACAGGAACTGTAGGTTTCAACCAGAAAATGGGAAAATAGTAGCAATTAAGCTAGTCAAAAAGGTCCGACAATTCTGCATGGCACGCCAGATTGTAAAAATGATCTTGCACAAATTTCTTCAGCTGTATCAAGGTATAATAGTGGTTATTTCAATATTGAATTTCAGTAGAGTAGGTTCACAGTTCTAAACCATCGTAACATTCAGGATGACTGCATCAAACATGGTTGAATTTCTGCTGCAGCATTTTAGAAATAAAAACAATAGATGAATGTCTGGATATCCTTCTTAATAATGCTGATAATCAGTACAAAGTAAAAAGTTAGCTTTTAATTAATCAGTTGGTGACTTATAGAGGTAAGGTCAAGTGGCATATTACTTCAACTGGAATCAAACATCTTAGGCTTGGTTCCTGTATCTTGATGCTCATGTATATACCTGTCGTTAAAAGTGAAATGGGGTTGGTGCTAGGAACCCATCTGTAGTTCTATTCCGAAATGGCTCTCTGGTGATCAAAGAGGTATCATCCTTATGAAAGCCAATGTAATAAGCCAGACCAGAAATGGTGAATTATTACAACAGGATATCAAAAAGCCAAATAAAAATGCGATTAGAAATGATTTTAAAAGCTGGAAGGTTGTAAATGTATTTTAGTGGAATTTCTAGTTGGAGCGAAATGGCGAAATACGATATGCTTGCAATGATTAACGGTGTCTTGAAGTGGACAAACCGTTCTCATCTGTATTATGTTGGTCATTCTCAGGGCACGCTTACCATGTTCACAAAGCTTTCAGAGGACGAACATTTAAATAAAAAGGTTTGCAAATTTGATAAATTTCATGAAAACTTCTAAGGCTTACGAAATTTTTTGTACATATAAAGTTTCAATTGAAGGAAATTTCTACTTGACATGATGTGTGATATTTAGAATTGTATTTCCGTGAATAGTTTTTTTTTTATTGCAATTGGCTCATTGCACTTGGTTGGAAATTGCTTTATGTCACTTTGATCATTGAAAATTTCTTTTTTAAAGTTTAATTATTAAAAATGGTCGAGTTGAAATTTTCGCAAACAAGTCCACAGGATAAATTCGCAAGAAAATGCAGAAAGATAAGCTAGATTGAATATTCGCCACTCTGACAAAAGATTTATACTGGAATTTTTTAGGTGAAGATATTTTTTGCACTTGCACCTGTCGGAACTATAGCTCATGTCAAAGGCTTATTTTCAGTCCTTGGAAATTCCATGTATCGACAGTTTCAGGTACGATTTCTAGAATTGATTGTAACTAGGACACTAGGACAAATATCTAATCATTGAAAGCATTAGGCTTTATTCGTCGTCATCCCATCACAAAAAGTAGTTCGAGCAAATATTATTAAACTTTGAAATATAGAAACTACAAAATTATAAACCTGCTTTACTGATATAATCAAACCATGTTGTTTTTATAATTTCCATTAGTCCTATTTTAAACTTGGCATTCCTTTTGTATTTGAGATTTCAAATTTTTGAATGCTTTGAATTCTTATATATCTATTTTTTATTTTAATAAATTTTAAATTATTTTAAAAAATAAAATGGAAAAAGTAGAAAGAAAAAAAATTGCATAATAAGAATGAAATAATCTCTGTGGTTTAGTTTTTTTTCTTCTACCAGTATGATTTCTCCGCGAGAGTTTCTTTTGATTAGAAGTATTAGAAGTGGGTTCCTAGTAAGCGGTTTCACTTTTAATGACACTTTTCGCGTCAAAGAGAAACGCATATGATGGTTGACTTTTATTAAAGCAACATGCCAATCGACTATCTTCTCTTTAAATTTTGAAAGTTTTTAAAATTTCATTTCGTTAATATAACTTTGCAAATGAAATTCGACCTAATAAAATTTAACTATTATTTCATCATTTGGGATAATCTCTCAAGATGTTTATCGAAAAAATTATCCTCAAGTAATTTATAATTCGATTATGATTCCAGATTTTTTCACTGTTATTCGGTGATACCGAATTTCTGCCAAATAACTTCATCACTCGCTTAATAACTAAGTTCATATGTGGAATCGCTTCAAAGAAACCTTTGTGTGAAAATTTTATTTTTATGCTTAGCGGTCCAGATAGTCACCAACTTAATAAGGTTATTAGTTTCTTTATTAAAACAAATTTACAACCTTCAAATCAATGACAGTACGAGAGCGATTTCCAAAGTGGCTCGTACAATGTAATTTAGCATATTGGTAGCAAATCTATATTATTCTTTTATCCACGATCTCTGAAAGGTGTCTGATGACCTTACTCGAACAGTAAGTACCATATTCTTTCAATCGCTAAGAAAGATTTTAAGGGTTGATTGAACAATGCAAATTTGCTTTTATTGTATATTGCAATTAATCCAAGTTTGCAGTCAAGAATTGGAGTTTATTTAAGTCATAATCCAGCGGGCACGTCGACTAGAAATATGTGGCACATAGCACAGATGGTGCGACATGGAAAACATAGTGCCTTCGATTATATATTTCCAGCCCTCAATAAAAAATTCTACGGAACGGTTGGTTTAAACTGAAACAGATCCATTGTGATAGGTTGCACAATTTTCTTCAATTCAGTTATTTTAGTCTGAGCCACCTACTTATAACATTTCTACTATAACAACAGAAATGCATCTTTACTACAGTGATGAAGACTGGATATCCACTGGAACAGATGTCCGAAATTATTTATTGACCAATCTTCCTTCCGCTTATTTAAAGTATGCTTAATTTTAGTTTATGCATCATTCAAGGATCATAGTCTAATTAAATTAATTAATTAAATATTAATTTGTGAGGCGCTAAGGCTACTGAGAATTATTATAAAAGCACAAATATTTATAACAAGGACAAAATATTCCATCTTCCACCAAGGCATTTTATTTAAAAAACTAAATCTAATTTCCTTTGATTTGTCGATAAAATGAATTAAGAAGTGGTAAACTCTCAAAATTTTTTTAAGCGTATAATAATTTTTTTGCGGATAATGTATTTGACTGAGTAATTTACACCTTATATTATGCTAGATCGGTCAACAAATTGAAAGACTTCAACCATAATGATTTCTTATGGGGTTGGAGAGCCCCAAAAGAAATTTATCTTCCCATAGCGAAACAAATTTGGTCGGACTATTCGAAAAATAATGGTACAGCTGAAGAAAACTGCAATAAAATCGTTCAACTGACCGATAACCATTGAACAAATAAAAATAAATTAGGTATTATTTTATAAATTTTTCTTCCAAAACGGCTAAGATTCCCACATTATCCTCGAATTTTTAAAGATAAATGGCTATGAATAGCGCATCTCTGATGTAAAAAAAAGTGGCTGAGCTATCCGAAACAAATTCAAAACAGATAGCATACCAGATGAACCAATAATTGCCATATACATCGCAAGTTTTACAGGTAAAGAAGAAATTTTATCGAGAAATAGGCCAATCACTTATTGAAACAGTCTCTGTGGAAAATGTTCTTTATTAGTGATCTCATCATTTTGATCGTTTTTAAATATCTATCGAGAACTAAGCAAAAATAATCACGGCGCTTTTATAATACAGTAAGAGCACAAATTTTATTGATATTGTTAAAATTTTTCGCCGTTTCTTTCCAATAAAAATAATAGCCATTCAATAAATAAATGAAATTAAAGATTCATTCTGTTTTATTTAATAACAAAACAAATTAAAAAAATATTTTTGTGTGATTCATAAATTGAAAAATGGCTTCTGTAAATTATTATAAAAGGCTATTATGAAAACATTATATAAATAGGAAAAATTTTGTGGTATCATTAACGCCAATGCTGTCTACTCCAGGCGGAACTGAACCTTTCAGAAAGTCGACAGCGAAGTTTGATGATGAAAACTTTACACTTGCACGTCTTTCGTCAAGTGACCCGATAGCAAAATTTTGGCTTGAAAATCCAGCGTAGCCAGCTCAACAGGAAATGGTAAACACTTTTAGGAAAAAAATGTATGCATGTATAATAATGATATAGGTTTTTGCTTAAGTGTAAGACACTGCTTCTTCGATTTAAGATCTAAAAAGGAAGAAACATTTATTCAAATTGCATTGAACAACACTTTCGAGCTTCTTCTGCACTTTTGAGTCGCAGATTAAGTAAATATGCGGTTGAAATGTGCAAGTGGCTTTGTTTTTTAAATGCTCTAACGAGTCGATTGATTTCTACTTAAGTAATTTGAGAAATAAGTTATAAAAGGATCGAAAATGAAAGAAAGGACAAAGACACTTGAATAAAGAATTTTATGGCTCATGTGCAGGAAATAAAGATTCGAGACGTCTATTAATATAAGGCTTAAACTCCGGATTTTTTTTAGCATTTGACCTCGTCTATTTATTTTGTTTAGTGTTTTTGATGTTCCAACAAAGCATAAAACGAAAATAAACTTGCTTATTTGGCGCTGCAACTGCTGAATAGAACCGAAGTGAATCAAAGAATCGCTTCTGAGGCTGTAAGGCAGAAAATAGACATCATAAATTACGACCATATACGTTGCATGGCTCGCCATTTTTTCAAAATACTTGATTCGAAATCAAAAACTTTCGAATGAACTGATTTCTTAAAATGAAATGCTGAAAAAGATTTATAAAATATTGCTACATTTTAGTTCCATTAGCTTCACTGTAACTTTTTTTGAAAAAATTGGATTGCACAATATCAATTTCACAAGCATGTTTCCGCCAAATTCTTTTATTCTTTGTTCACTTAACTGCAAATTCTGGCTGTCTTATTTTTTTCCAGTTCAACAAGCAATAATCGATAAGAAAATTCTCTCCAGAAGTCGCATGAAATTCATTAGAGTTCATTATTTTAAAAGCGATCCAAAACCACTAGCGGAATTCAAAACCGAAAACTTCACTGATTCGCACTATTTTCTACGGGTTTCAACAATTCAGCTAAATTTCATGCGAATAAAATTAAATTTTGCTTAAAAATTAGCAACGACGAAAATTGTTTGCTCGAGTTGTTTTTTTTCACTTGTGTGCGAATCTAATGTTATATGCGAAACAGTTAAAAATAGAATTTATTGAATTCAAATAATGCTTCCAAAATTATCGTTCAAATGCAAAATGTGCACTCGTAAAAAAAGAGTTTTCATTTTTCTTTAACGCGCCACCTAAAAATTCTAAGCATACGTCTCCTATTTTAGTTTCAGACATCAAATATTTAAAGAATATTTATCTTTAAATAATGGCCTTACCAATATTACAAACTATATATATATATATGAAAGTAGCGGACAGAAATTATGAATTTCGTCGTAATTTTAACCAAGTTTTCAAATTTCTTACTTTTTTAAATTCTTTTAAATTTTAGTATTTGTTACGCTTCTTTACGCTTCTTGAGAAATAAAGATACTGGGGCATCTGAAAAGCTGAAGCCAATAACTCTAATTTACCAAGCTTGAAACAGATGGCTGAAATTAGTCCTAATGAAATTCAAAGCCACACTTGCAAGGAAATTTCTTCAAATCGTGGAAACTGTGGGATAGAGAATTTTCCTTTATTTTTTCGCCAATTTGAGATTCAAATTGTTGAATCCAAGCAGAAAAGTTTTGTTCAGGAATTTTGACTCGTAATTCAACTCGTAATTAATTGGATTTTTTCAAAAGTAATTTGGTTATACTTCAATTTGCGACATTTCGCCAACGTTATAAAGCACATTTTGTTCAGCTGTTTTATTGCTGGGGTTAGCAAATAAGAGCGAATCTCAGCAATGGTGGTAGTGAAAGCTTGTATATTAAATGCAGTTTTTTCTCAATGTTCCATATGTATAATACATAAAATCAAAATCTTGTAAAATATGCGGTTAGTGTAGTCTTTTTCTCGCGTTAATTGACAGCCTGATTCTGATTTGCTAATTTGAAATGAATAGATCCATATTTGACTAGTGAATTTTTAGCTTGATTGGTGCATCATTTGGAAAAATATTTGTATCCTCTTGTTTAGCGATTGTAACTTTTCGATTGAAAACTGAACTGAGTAGAATGTTTGTCGTATTAAGAAACTCATTTGGCTAAAATAATTGCAAAAATTTTTAATTTGATAAAATTTAGACTTAATAATTGCAATAACAACTCCATCCAAAAAACATCATTAGAAAAAAATGACTTTATAAAAAGTATTTTCTTTTCTTAGTTTAGCTTCACTGATCAATTGTTTGCAATGCATTTGTTTATGATAATAGATAAGCGCCGAACCAGTTGAATGAATAGAATTTATAGTAGAATTCAGAGAGAGAAAGAACTAGGAAATTGATACGAATATAGGCTGAAAGCGAAAAATTTGCTGGGATGTTAGAAGTCCCATCTTGCTTCTATATCGGCAATATTATATGCACAATTATATTATATATTTTACTCTCTGATTCAATTGTTTTTAATCATTTATTTTTCCTTATCGTTGACTGTAATAATTCATCAAATAATTTTTCTTCAAATTTTTCATATTTTTGAAGAAAATTTATCTTTGGCGAACATATGAGGCAAATAAGTATGATTGATTCACTTCACTGGAAAATCTCTTAAATGAAAAAATTAAATAAGTATGATTGATGTATGAAATTAATGATACGAGAATATGAATTATTTTTTATTCAGCTCAATAAAATAACATAAGAAATTATTCAAATGGAAAATCCGAAAGAAATATTCTTTCAAAACAGTTCTTTTTTCAAGCAATTTTGGCAAAATATTCTACTGAATCCATTAGGAATGCACTAATCGAAATCAGCGAGATTCTCATCTCTTTTTGCAATAAGTTTCATCGTTTCTATAATTATAATCGATTAGAATTTATTTTTTGAATTTGTTAAACGATGTTGTCTCATTTCTCAAATTGTTACTGAATATGAGAGATGCAAAATTTTCAAACGAACATTTCAGATATGCGAATGGAAATTCGATTTATTATAACAGCAAACTTCAATATTCGATTAAATTTAGAAAGTTTTCTTGTAACGTTCATTGTTGTAGTAGAATGAAAGTCCTCTGTTAAGGTTTTTAAGACAGAACGTGAATTAAACCGTGAACGTGGATTTCTTCAAGCTTTACTCTGGCATTTTTTTCGATTCTCTGTGCTCGATTATTTTTCCATTGGTGTTTTTAATTCACATCCTTTTGAATTCATGCTGGAGGAGCAATTTGGTTTAGTGGTGTATTTCTTCGATTAAAGTCGACGCGGCAGGTTCGATTTTTGTGCTTTGGAGGAAATAAACTCACCAATGAAATATCTGAGTGGAGCCATAGGCTAACCTTCTTCTATCCCCAAAGAACATTCTGGCGAGGTGTTCTTAATCTTCATAGCCAGTACAAATAGATAGCACAGATAACACAACTTGGAATGGTTAGTATTATTATAGGAAAAAAGAATTCTAAATTAATCACGCAAATTAATGAAAACTTTTCAGGGTTCATCTGTTTGCTATTCGCTTGATTGATTAGCTTAAGTTGATTAGGAAATTGGAACTATTAGTGTAAATACTCAGGAGAAAATTATTTGACTACAAACATGTCGAACTTTAAAATTTTTGCTAAATATTAAAGGATATTGTCGTCACTGTTGAAAGTAGTTTTCCTCGACAAAAACTTTTTGATAAATGCATCGAAAGAAAAAAAAGAATTTTGGAAAATGAAAGATCCAAAGTTTTTCCACGAAACATTGATTTTTGTTCGAATGAAACCATTAGGGTATTAATTTTCAAGTTCATTTTTATAGTATTGAATGGCGATAGGTAAAGCGACAACACTTCATCCTATGTTTGCTATATTTTCCTTATTCCTTATTTTATTATTCCATGTTATTTTAACTTTTTAATCGATTTGTTGCTCTTTATTCAGTTATCTTTAAAATTTTCCATAAAATTTTCGCTTTTTTACTGGTTTTTTCTGGAGAATATTGTATCGTAAAAATTGACTCAGTTGAAGCTAAATTTGTCTCCAATTCCCTAAGGTTCGATATAATTGTAATTTTTAAAAAAAATTTTAAAAGTGCTTTTTTGCCTTTCGGTTGTTTCGCATGTTTCTCATAAAAATCTTTAAAGCCTTCTTTGTTTTGTTATTGTGCAAATCCATTTCTGTGTTCTTACCTTAAATTCCTTAGATTAAAGAATTCAATTATTTAATCATTTTAATCAAATTTTTTGTTTATTCAGTATTTTTCGTGAATCGCATAGTT